AGCCATATTTCATTTTTTATATTCTTGATTAGATTTTTTTCTTAATAATATTCTTGATTGGAAATATCAAATCGGTTTAAGATAAACCAAACTCAAATCATACAAAACTATTAAAATTAACTAATTTCAGATTTTTGATTCATTTTATTATCTTAATAAAAAATTTATTTCAAACTCACAGAATCAAACAAAACATGAATAAACACAATTTTTCTTCAAAAAACCTTTACATAATATAAACTTAGCTAGAAAATCATAATTTTAAAAAACAAAGAAGTGCAACTACTGCATTTAATATAGTTATAATTCAAAAACAATTTTATAAATTTTTAATATAATTCTCAACTTTATAAAATATAAAGTGTTTATGTTCAGGATTTCATATTCTAGGGGAAAATATACGGGTAATTTAATTTGGCCCATCATCCAAAACTAATACTATCAAACACACGTATATACATTACCCAAAACAAAAACAAAAAAAGATCAAGAAGAAATAAAACTAAGTAGAGAGGCCTAGGGAGATATTTTTACACATATATCCCAAAAAAGGAAAAACTTATCCACAAAGAACTATTTGGCTTTTTGCTTAAAACTCGAAATACAAGTTAGCGTCACAAGAAAGATCACGTACGTTTGATTGAATCTTTACCAAATCAATGGGATTTAACTGTGAAATTTAGAAAGGAATCGTTACGTATCTCTTTAGAGATTTCCTAATTAGGAAACGAGACGAAACGATGGAACATGTGAGTTTCAACATGTTGCCCAAACCGGCCAATTTCAATCCGGATACGTGGCAACTTCAGTGGTCACATTTATTTTTTGGACCCTCTTTGTCTTTTGCTTCTTGACCATTTCGCATTTCACCATTTCCGGACATTTTTCTTAATTGTTAAGCCATTAGAAAGTAGAAACCTCTATATTACGAAATACGAACCGTTATTATAACTTGCTGTAATACGTCAATATTATCACTGTGTATTAGTGTAACTACTTATATATCAATTATTACTATGATTAAAAAATATCCATATGATTTGGAAAAAAAAATTGTAAGTGATTTTAACTTTTGAGGGTTGTGATTTTATAAAAAATTAAGTTATGATTGGTTTAACTTTTATTGTAAAAGGTTATTGTAAAGTCTTTACGACCATGAACTCTAATCTACTAATCAACCCCCAGGGTTTACTATTAAGCATTAAGAATAAAGACAGGATTTAGGGTAAAATACTATTAACCTCGAGTTTGAGAAAATATTGAAATCCGCATTAGTTTGAATTTGCTGGTTTAGCTATTCAAGCTTCGAAGGGCTAGAGGTGTGTTACGGTAGGCATTGACCAATCTCAGCATACATAAGCACAGTGCTGTACTTTTTTCACTAAGGAAGAAAAATAAGTAAACCTCATTTTATATCACAAAATTAGTAATATAAATATATATTTCAACTTAAAAGCCAATTTATATGGTCAGTGTTGTTTTTTTGTGTAATAGTGTTTATGTGTATCTCCATAATTAATTAGTGATTATTTAGAGTTTCTTCGTGTTATATATGAGTTAATTACTTGTAGTTTAATTTATCATAACATCTTATTAAATCATTCAAAAGTATTTCATCATATTTTTCTTTTGACCGTTAACCAAATCCCAAACTTTTCAACAGAAAACAGATTACTATTTATTTTTGCAATGTTAATTTAAAAAGTAAAAACTATTAGTTCATTCAGCTTTTAAACCATTCTTCTAAGTTGGAATAAACTACTATGTATTATCTTATATGATGTGTATAACCAAAACCTTGAGATATGCGACACGCATTTACTATATAAGGCTACAAAATCTTAGACCCACGGAAACAAATTGATATCTTATGTTATGTGCACATTACATTGGTATAATCAAATGTATTGCAATTTAGGCGCCTAGAGCCATAGGACCCCCGCGTTAGATTAGTCTTAATCATCCAATAAATTGCGACAAACAACATTAGTTACATGTTTGTGTGCTCTCTCGTCCAATTCGTTACTTTAATTGGAAAGTCTTATCTTAATAAATAAATTCGTCGGGAGTTGGTGCCTCTACAAAATATATGTATACACTATAATTTATTTTTGCTTCTCCACCAATGATTGGTTGTGTTTATAAATTTTCATTTCTATAAAGTAAATACTTTAGGGAAAACTATTTCTGGACCAATCTTTTTTCATCAAATATATTCCTTGAATTGCGCCTTAATTTGAGCATTACATGTTTATATTTATCTACAACTGATTTGAACTACGTAGAAGTGTTGTGCTAGATCAAATGCCAACATGAAAATTCAATAGAGTTATAGAAAAAAAAACAATAGAATTAGAACGAAACCAATTTAACATGTTTTAGCTTTTTTTTTGCATAGAGCTGGATTTATTAAAACACGTATTTAAACTCTAAAAAAACAAAACCAGACTAGTCCGCAAGAACATATATATATTTTTACTTCCATGATTTGCATAATGCGTAAGGTATGTGAATAGACCGATGGCGATGAGAATGTGTCTCTATCTACACTATTTTTTTACAAATAAAGGGAGAAAACGAAGAAAAAGTTATAGTTTCATGATTAGTGCGTCTTATTGGGTATGGTTTATTAATGAACTAAAAAATAAAAAATGCGTAGATGCATCTTACCGCCCTAAAAGTTATATAGCGTTAGAGTTCTTTTGTGAAGTGAAGCTACCTACGACATATATTGTATAATAACATGCATGCAATTGAGAAAAATGTATTAGCAAATAGAAAGACTGAACTTGCTCTTTCACGTCTTATTGGTTGCGTTTCTTTCGATGAATGATAAATAAGCATTGGTAAGTTAAAAATTGACCTAATCCACATTTTACCAATAAACGGATTGCGACACCAGTAAATAATCTTTTCACAATTTCACTAGCTAATAAACAAATAGAAGCTAGGGACCCTAAAAGCTTTAATAAAGCATACTCAAAATGTTTTTCTCTTTTACTTTTTGGGTCGACACTGAAATTGTTTTATGAAAACAACAATTGGGACACAAGCCTCTCTCCGTCTCGCGCGTCGCCATCACTGTTGAATTTCAGAAATATGTTGCATAAATTTTAATGGACCCTATTATAAATTTATGGTTTATGGTGCTAGTTATTTTTTTCTTCAAAAATCTGAATTTTGTAGTATACTTTCCGATAATAAATAGTATATACAGTATTACTAAAACATGTAATGTAGTTGTTTGTACTTATTTAAATAAAAACTCACTATAGAGCGCATTCACATAAAAGATAATTAATATACTTAGAATAGTTAATTGTTGGAATTCGTTGGTTTAAAAATCCAATAGAATTCCGTGGATCCTTCTGTAGTGGATTAATAAGCATGAAAAATCTCCAAACAGCTAAGCAAAAACCTTTAGTTTGTTTAAAATAACAATAAAAGATTCTCAATTACTCGATTAAGACACTAATCACCACCACAATCTTTACGATTAAAACATCGAACGACAAAACACAACGTGGACGGTCCAAAAAACACTCACGTGGAGTAAAAATTAGATATACTTTCCCTAAATATAAAAACAGTAACATATATTGTCTCTCTTTGCCACTTTCGAGGTCCAACCTGTCTCTCTGGTTCCTGCTATATATCGCAAAACACGATTAGAGCTTTAAGCACATGGTTAGCAACTAAACAAATCTTGTCATTAGCTCCTTAATTTAAGATTATAAATTTCCATAAATAGTTTTCGTAAACGTGGCATTGCTGATTTGCTATGAACACAAGATGCGTCACCGATGACAGCTATAAAAGAGGAGGCTTTTCTAGATTGCTCTTGGGTTTGGTCCTAGATTCGTGGGGTGTTAGTTTTTAATATATATTTTTAAAGGAAATTCTCTTAATTAGTCTTAATTTATTGCTCTAAGTTTACAATATTCTTTCTATTTTGGTTCTTGTAGCTTTAAACGCGATCTTGTATTATTTTCATGGTGGTCCAAATTAGTACCTGGCACAACATAGAAGCATGAGATTAATGAACTAATAAATTTTTTAATCAATCGAAGCATTTATACATTAATTAATCGGTTGATATAAAATTAAATTTCCTTTTCCAGACATCAACCAATCAGATAAGATCTACATTAGCTCTAACTAACTACAGTATAAAAAATACCAAATATATAACATGTTCGATTCAACATTTTAATACTCATCTTCTTTAACATTATATTAGTAGAGTTTGAAATCTCAAATACTTATAACCAATAGTTGAAATTTGACTTTTTGGTTTAACTATTAACTATTCTCCAAACATATGCTTTATTTTTCCTTCTAATTGTAACATTATGATTGATAATTTTCATGCAACTCCTTTTTTCTAGATCGTAGGTAGGAGGATATTAGGTTAATTTGACTACGTTAGAGATTTAAATTAGTACGCTTTCGAACAAGTCAAAAGACACCATCGGGTTAGCCACTAAGAAAGCAATCATGATCATATCAATTAATTATAATCCTACATATATACAAGCACAAGATACACTCATGCATAAAAATGATTCTCTCTTTATCAAATTTAGATTCCGGACCATTAAAAAACAATCAAAAATGGATAGAACTCTTACAAGATAAATTTGAAAGGAACAATTACTCACTTCATCATATTATTCTTAGAGACTAATAATTTATAAATAATGTCAAACAACTCTATGGACAGATTAATACACAACGTTTACAAATATCATTCACGACTTTAGTGATCTTTTTTTTACCCTAATATAATGTGATATCAAAACCAAAAATTAATAACGTTTTGCATAAAAAGCTTTGTTTCCACAACTGTTTTAAGATAACAACAATGATTAGTTTTAAAAATTGTAATTAGTTTGATTGTTGGATACAAACATCAATTTGTTGCTATTGATAGGCCCAATATCAATTTTACATTTCAGGGGCTCTATCATAACTATAAAAGCCCAATAGCTGACTTTTTGACTCCTTGTATGAAACCAACAAACTTAAGCCCAAGTTATCAACTCAAAATTGACCGTAAGATATACGGCGCCGTTTTTGTAGACCTGAGTGTGATTAAAGTGAGCTGTTAAATCTTCACTTAACCCCATTTTAAATCACGAAATTAGAGTGGCGATTAAAAAATATAAAGTAAAGTTTTTTCAGTGATTTGTTTTCATTTATTTAAATTTTAAAATTAATCCAATTTATCGTTGACGGAAAATTTGGGAGAATATTCTCGATGGGGAAAGGAGGAGGATGTGTTCCGAGCAAGAAGAAGAAGCCGTCGTCTCTCGCCACCACCGGCGATGGTCCCGGAATCGACGATGATAACGACGCTACTAATGCTCCGATCCAAATTGATGATGATCAAACCACCATTGACGGCGATCGAACAACGGCGACGAATACTGCAGGAACAACAACACCAGCGATTTCTACGGCTGCTAAGATCTCGTCACCGCTCAAGATCTTCGTCGTGTTCTATTCGATGTACGGACATGTTGAGAGCTTAGCGAAGAGGATGAAGAAGGGAGTGGATAGTGTTGAAGGAGTGGAGGCGTCGCTGTACAGAGTTCCGGAGACGCTTTCGCAGGAGGTTGTTGAGCAGATGAAGGCGCCGGTTAAGGATTTGGAGATTCCGGAGATTACGGCGGCGGAATTGGCGGCTGCTGATGGATTTTTGTTTGGGTTTCCGACTAGGTATGGTTGTATGGCTGCGCAGATGAAGGCGTTTTTTGATTCGACGGGATCATTGTGGAAGGAGCAGAGTCTTGCTGGTAAGCCTGCTGGATTCTTTGTGAGTACTGGGACTCAAGGAGGTGGTCAAGAGACTACTGCGTAAGCTTTTTCTTCTTTCTTATACTCTTTGGTACCATTTGCATTGGTTCTAAAGTAAAGTAGTTGAATTTGGAGTACAAGTATTCAATTGATATTGTCACAGAGTCACAGTGTGAAATAAATGCAACCTTGAATTTGATGTTTATAGGTGGTTGCTAAAACCTGAAAGGTTGTTGTGGTTAGGACTTTGTCTAGTACTTTAGAGGAAACTTGTCAGAGATTGCTATAAATTCTGGTGAATTGCTTGCTTGATCTTTGATTGCTTTCTTAACTACACCATTCAATCTAAGGGATTCTAAGAGAAGTTTTGTTTCAGAACTCAATTCAATTGGCGTTCATTCTGAGTCCAATCTTGAATAGTACCCTGGTTTCTCTTTCGGTATGATAGGCTTGCGCTTATGCTACGTTGATGTTAGCTGTAGTAAGGGGAGATTTATAAGAAAATGTAAAATGAACTTGACTAGATTAGATTCTCACTTTCTCAGCACCCAAAGTACTAAATCTCTAGGCATAGGTGTTGCCTCTGATAATTTGCATGTGTATAAGCTCTGAGATAGATTCTTCAATGTATCTGGACTCTCTTCAGTCATCATTTGCACTTACTTAGATAATTGTCTGTTTTACTTCAGCTGATTCACTCGGTTTCTGTGATAGTTTGCGGATATAGAGAAGCATAACAATGTGGAATCTTAAAGCTTTTGAACATTAAGATCTGAAACACTTGCTGATTCCATGGTGTGTTTTTGTTGCAGATGGACAGCAATCACACAGCTGGTGCACCACGGGATGCTATTTGTACCCATAGGCTACACATTTGGAGCTGGAATGTTCAAGATGGACTCGATCCGTGGAGGCTCACCTTATGGAGCTGGTGTGTTTGCTGGTGATGGCTCAAGAGAAGCAACAGAAACAGAATTGGCTCTTGCTGAACATCAAGGAAACTACATGGCTGCAATAGTCAAGAGACTTGCTCAACCTTAAAAGAAAAAACAAAAATTGCTTCTTTTATTTTTCTCTTTCCATTCAATTCCTCGTCCCGCTAAATAATCATATTAAAAAATCTTCCTTTCAAAATTTCTTTCTTTTATGAGTGTTTTCAGTTTCCCCATTAATGGTTTGTGTGTACATGTTTTTTTAATATTATTGTCTCTTTGATTATTCATCCACAAATAAATATATTGTGATCATTTATATTTGTAAAATTAAAAAAAAAATTTCATTACGTGTTCTTTCATTGAAGTTGTTGAATGGATATTTTATCAAAAACATTACTCCACAAATCATTAAAAAGTAGGAAAATAATATACTAATTATTTAGTTGCGTCAGCCATTAGGATTCCTTGGAAGACGTAAAGTTTATAAAACATATAACTGTGATATCTGTACTTTATTATATATCTATCTGCTGCATCTGTGTTCTGTTCGTCCTTGAGACATATCAAATTCAGAAGCAGGGAAATTCTTCTCTCAACTCTAAACATCGCCATGTCCGAGATTCTCTCTTCATTGAGGTCACTAATGGCCTCTCATTCTCCTCCTCTTGATGCTTTGGTTGTTCCTTCCGAAGACTATCACCAGGTCTAATTCTTTTCAATTGAATTACCCCTTTTTGATTCATGATCCGATCTCAGATTACTTAATTAAGCTTCTTAATCACGTTTTGTTCATTGATTTGTAAGTTCCGATTTTTAATTGTATTTAGAGCGAGTATGTTTCTGCACGAGACAAGCGCCGTGAGTTCGTGTCTGGATTCAGTGGAAGTGCAGGTGGGTTCTCTTTTCTTTTGTTCTGGATTCGAATATCGTTATAATTGAATCCTTGATCGAGAGAATCGGACCATAATTGAATTTGATCGCCGATTATATACATAGGTTTGGCACTTATCACGAAGAACGAAGCAAGGCTTTGGACTGATGGTCGATACTTCTTGCAAGCATTGCAACAGCTTAGCGATGAGTGGACACTAATGCGGATGGGAGAAGATCCTCTTGTTGAAGTTTGGATGTCAGATGTTAGTCCACACTAATCTTTATCAATCAAAAATTTTTATGTGTTCTTTAATTGAGCTTATGGTTTGTGTTTTTCTTGGGACAATGTAGAATCTACCTGAAGAGGCAAACATAGGTGTTGATTCATGGTGTGTGTCGGTAGACACGGCGAATAGATGGGGAAAATCTTTTGCCAAGAAGAATCAGAAACTAATCACCACAACAACTGATCTTGTGGACCAAGTTTGGAAGAGTCGTCCACCTTCTGAGATGAGTCCAGTTGTTGTTCATCCCTTGGAGTTTGCTGGCCGTTCTGTTTCCGATAAATTGGAAGATTTGAGGGCAAAGCTTAAGCAAGAGAATGCGCGTGGGTTGGTCATCGCTGCTCTTGATGAGGTGTGCTTTAGTAGAAAATGATCTTTCTTTTCTCAGTTCATCTTTGGAATGTATTGATTGGGGTTTTACGCCGTTTGATGCAGGTTGCTTGGCTATATAATATCCGTGGAACTGATGTCGCTTATTGTCCGGTTGTTCATGCGTTTGCAATCCTTACAACCGATTCTGCGTTTCTTTATGTTGACAAAAAGAAAGTATCTGATGAGGTGTGGCTTTTGTTTTTGTTTCAGCAATATGACTAATCATGCTATAGCTTGTTCAACAACTTCTGAATCTTTTGTTTTGGAATGAAGGCAAACTCTTATTTCAATGAGCTCGGTGTAGAAGTCCGGGAATACACAGATGTGATCTCAGATGTGGCCTTGCTTGCTTCGGATCGACTTATTTCTTCATTTGCCTCTAAAACTGTTCAATCTGAGACTACAAAGGACATGGAGATTGATTCTGACCAGCATGATCGGTTATGGGTGGATCCTGCTTCGTGCTGCTATGCACTTTACTCCAAATTGGATGCCGAGAAGGTCCTTCTGCAACCATCTCCTATATCCCTCTCAAAAGCCTTGAAGGTAATAATGAATGCTTTTTGAAAAAAGTGACCTCTTCTGACGTGTTATGGTTTACTTATACATGCTTCTTCTCCGTTGTGTTAGAACCCGGTTGAGCTCGAAGGGATCAAGAACGCACATGTTCGTGATGGTGCTGCTGTTGTCCAGTACCTTGTTTGGCTCGATAAACAGGTACTGAATAAACAGAAATTTTGTTTCTTGAGCACTACTATATCGATGATTGATTATGTAACTCAACATTGTGAAACCATAGATGCAGGAGCTCTATGGAGCATCTGGATACTTCTTGGAAGCAGAGGCAAGCAAAAAGAAACCATCGTAAGCTTCTTTCTTCTTTGTTTTGTTTTTCCAGCTTTTGCAAAACATTTTTCTCCATAATTCATGACGCAATGAGTTTTTCTTCTGGGAAAAACAAAACAATACAGAGAGACCTCTAAGCTTACTGAAGTGACTGTGAGCGATAAGCTGGAAAGCCTCCGAGCTGCAAAAGAGGTAATGTTTACATATATAACATATGAACGAAGTTAAAACTTTTGTCGTTCCATAAAAGAGGTGAATCACATTTCTCGTTTTTTTTTTCATATGGTTGCAGCATTTTAGAGGTTTAAGCTTTCCTACTATATCATCGGTTGGTTCAAACGCTGCTGTTATTCATTATTCACCAGAGCCAGAAGCTTGTGCCGAGATGGACCCCGACAAAATTTACTTATGTGATTCAGGAGCACAGGTAAGTATCACATGATTGAGTATATACTATAATAGGCTTCCATTGTATCTAATTCAAAGTCTTTGCTCTTTAATAAAATTTCGTTGTTGTCTTTCTGCAAAGTATCTCGATGGAACAACTGATATAACCCGAACGGTTCACTTTGGAAAACCTTCAGCTCATGAGAAGGAATGCTATACTGCGGTATGTACTTATTGATAAAACTTTTGGAATATTACATTCTTATTTATTTGGAGTAAGCATATTTGCTGATATATGTTCAATGTGCCGCATTCTTAGGTCTTCAAGGGTCATGTTGCACTAGGAAATGCTCGGTTTCCAAAGGGAACAACGGTAAGTTATGAGCTCCTTGAATTTTGTTTCTGTACTAACTTGAGATTCGTTTTTAAGGAAGAGTAATTTGTTATATGTCGAATTGGCTATATCCGAATTTACAGGTTATACACTTGATATTCTTGCTCGAGCTCCTTTGTGGAAGTATGGGTTGGATTATCGACATGGTACTGGTCATGGAGTTGGTTCTTACCTTTGTGTTCATGAAGGCAAGTGATGAAATATCTCTTTTTATTCTCTCTTTCTTATATATATTGAGTCATTGACTATAACGTTTTTTAAAACTCTAAATATGATCAACTGACTTTCTGCGATGATTATGTATGGTTTAATATGTAGGACCTCACCAAGTTAGTTTCAGACCGAGTGCTAGGAATGTACCTCTTCAAGCTACCATGACTGTAACAGATGGTCTGTCTACAACAAAAGCTCGGTATTTCTCCTGTTCGGTTAACCTTAATCATATTCTAAGAGCCGTCTGTTTAATTTATTTTGCAGAACCCGGTTACTATGAAGACGGGAACTTTGGTATTAGGCTGGAGAATGTTCTTGTTGTCAATGACGCTGAGACCGAATTCAATTTTGGCGACAAGGGTTACTTGCAATTCGAGCATATCACTTGGGTAGTTGCTCATTGTCTCTTAACTATTCCGTCGTTCTCTTATCAACACGCACATCTGAGTAACTCTCTATCTCTCTCTTCAGGCACCATATCAAGTGAAACTTATCGATCTAGATGAATTGACACGGGAAGAGATTGATTGGTTAAACACATACCATTCGAAATGCAAAGACATCTTGGCCCCATTCATGAACCAGACTGAAATGGAATGGCTCAAGAAAGCTACCGAACCTGTAAGTGTATCGGCTTAATCCCCTCCCAGATTTCTCTTAAATAGATGTTTATCAATGGCTTTGTCACTTCTCTCACTAGTAAACCAAAAATATTCAAGTCATTACACAGATTATTTCCTTTAGTTTGCATTCAAAGTTCATGTTTCTGGACCACATGTCTTTATTCATAGAAGATTCTCAGTTCTTGAACCTTGTTTATATCTTCTTGGCTCATAAATAAAACATTATCGTTTTGATACTTTATTATATTGTCAATTTTTTGCTAATTAGTTTTAGGTGAAGGAAGCAGATGGAATGTGACTCTTCTTGAGAGCTTCTCCTGCTGTCTTCTTCAGTTCCTTAACATTCTTTCTCATCTCTTTTCCTTCTTCTTCATCCATCACTCTCTTCACCATTTCAACTATCTCTTCCTTCTTTACAATCCCATCTGCAACATTAACCCGCAACGCAATCTTTAGCTCCCCAGAAACCATCCATGCGTTCATCTTCTGCTCTGAGTACAACGGCCAAGCTACCATTGGCACACCATTCACAATACTCTCCAAAACTGAGTTCCATCCGCAGTGAGTCACAAACGCTCCTGTTGACTTGTGTGCCAGAATCTCCTCTTGTGGGGCCCATGTCCGGACCACCAAACCGATGTCTTTGGTCCGGTCTAGAAACCCTTTGGGTAAGAAATCGAGTGGTTCTGTCTCATTCTTGGTCTTGTCGAACATTGATGCAGATGGGTCGTCTTCAGCCGGTGGTCTGACTACCCAAACAAATCTGTGGCCAGTCAGCTCCAAACCATAAGCCAGCTCGTTCGTCTGCTCGGCGGTTAGTGCCCCACCACTCCCAAAAGAAACATAAACCACTGACTCTTTGGGTTGTGAGTCAAGCCAGTCCAGCACGCCATGTTTCAAACCCGGTTCTGCTGGTCTAACCAGCGGTCCAACAGGATAAACCGGCACTCCTCTCATAATCCGACCGAGATTCTCTGGATCCAAGAAAGACCCGATCGTCACTTGCTCCAGACTGTGCCACGTATTCACAAAGACCCCATCTGCGGTTATCACCTCAGCCCCAATTCGCTGAGACTCGGTGAGTTCCCGAATATATTTACTCGGATCTTGAGCCCGCTCAAACTTAACCGGGCTGCATCCGGGTATAAGCAATGCTCCTATGTTACTCAACTGCTTATACAACTCCTGCTTGTCAAGACTCGCCATATAAACCGTGAAAGCTAGAAACCAAGCACTGGTAGTAACCAGAACATGTTTTCTCATGATCTCAAGCTCCTTAGCCACCACTAAAGCTTCTGTGCCCAACAAGTCAACTACAAAAACCCTAGGCCGTGGTTCTAACTCCATGACTGCTGACCTGATCTCCGGTAATGCCTTCCTCATCATCTCTGCTAGTTTAGTCAAAAGAGAACCGCTCAGATCTTGACCCGAAACATCAAGTTGAATAAACTTGATCACAAATTTTGGATCTTCTTCCTTTAACGTTTTGCCAATTAAGGATTTCGAACGTGAGATATCGTCTGTGACTAGGAAGACGGTGATACGGTCGAAACCGTTATGGTTCAGGAGATGTTTACCGAGTTCTAAGATGGGTACGGCATGTCCCATACCCGGACTAGCCACTAGAGCTCCGTGAAGTTCCATGGTCCTCAGAGTTTTTTTAGTAATCTGCTTTCTTTAATTGGTGGAATGAGAATGTTTGGTGATTGGACGCATTTGTGTTGAATATTTAAAGAAGTATGACGGGATTATTAAGATTACAGTTATCGAAATGGACGAACATCTCACAGCAATAAATCACTATAACGGAGTGAATATAGTAACTTATTTACCAAAAAAACTAAACATTCATAAAATACATTAATGTAATTGGATTAAATACTTGTAACAAGTGGTAAGATGTTAATTTTTGTTCACCAAGTGTAACGTTGTACAAAGACCTAACGTATAATAGTTGTGTTTGAGCCGACGTTTGTTTCGCGTGTTACGATGATGTTTGGATGAGATGAGCCAGGCATAGAAACATGGTTCAAGATGTGTTTGTTTGTTTTACCTTGTTTTAGACAAAACTACAAAATGCGATCTTGTGACTTGGTGAAACTTACTAGTTATATCTTTTTAAAAAAATGTAAATGGATCCAAACTAAACAGCTAGTTATATATGAAAAGAAGCAATTCAGTCTCACGTGGACCCAACGTGGGTCATCATCTCGTAGTTCCCTCATCAAATGGGCAATGTAAGTGTTGTCTTGTACCGTGAATTACGACAAACGAAAAAAAAAGTATTTAACTACAACATGCGATGATAACAATAATAGTATCAACAATAGTATAAAAAGAAAGAAAATTAAAAATACAAGTTCAATTCAAATGGTTGGAAGAAGTTGTTGTTTAGGTCCCAACAAAAGTGAAAAAAATAGACAGACCACATGGTAGGGGTCCATTATCCTCCGCTCGTGGAGGTTTCCTTTTATATCACCTAACTCAACACAACAAACTCTAAACTAATCACAATTATTCACAGGAAAACAAAAATTCAAATCTTGAAAGCAAAATGGATATCATTGCATATTACTACTATATCCGTAAAGATTAAATAACTTCTTACATTATTAAGTCTCTCTACAAATTGATTTTTTCCAAAACCCAATCTTTATCCTGTGATCAACAAACCCATATTACATCTCTAAGAACATTATCATCATCACAGAGAAAAATTAAGTATAAACGGAGATTGTAACGGTATGTTAAGGTTCGACCCTTTTCGACCTTCCTCGGTCATGCGAGCTCCGGCTCCAATGTACTGTACAATGCTGAAGATTTGCTCTGTTATGGTCCATAAGGAGACTGATCTTTTACCACCATTTTCAAACTGATTTCAAGTTCGATTTTTCAGCATCGGGCTTTAGTGCCACCGAGAGTGAGTTCGAGATCTTCTACGCCAACTTCATGAATCATTTCTCCTTCCCATGGCTTGACTGTTCCATTCTCGAACTCAAACTCTGTACCTCTCCCATTCATTCCTGACATTCCCCAATCTGATCTTTTCATATCAATGGCCATAGATGTTTGCTGAACAAGATTGAATGTTGGTGAAGTAGGAGCTGTAGATTGGAAATTGATCCACCTTCCTGAATCCTCTATCGAATCTTCCTCGGACTCATCACATTCCGGTATTGTAGGTGGTGTTTGGTGACCAGCACGACGAGTAGGACTAGATGGAGCTGAGATAGCGAAAAGCGGATGCCTCAAAACGTGTAAAGACCCGCCATTCGGTAATTGTTCTGAAGTGAGTTTCCGCTTCGAGCCGCGAGAAGTAGGAGAAGACAACGGAGGAGTCACAGGCGCACTGTTGGATATTCTAAGCGGCGGAAGGTTTGCAGGAATAGAAGAAGCGATGTTATGTAGGAACGGAAGGAGAAGGTACGAAGAAGGATTTCCATCGTAGCGAGATGGACTCGGGAAGGAAGACGAGACGGGACTTCCGTGGTAAGAAGGTGCAGGACTTGGAAAAGCAGATGATTGTGGACTTGGTTGGATTGAAGAATTAGTGCTGAAGTTTGTAGGAGTTCCTGAAATATCTGATGCTGGTGGCTTAAAAACCCTGTTTCCACAAGAATCAACCATTTTAGTGACAAAGACTAAACACAATCAAAACCACATGATGATGCAAAGTTCATCGTCAAAGTCAATATTTTAGCTTCGTCTAGTCAAAAAAGCAAAAGAGATTTCCCCAAAATTTCGCAATAATCGAACTTAGATGGTGTATAGAATTATCTAAATATAGCATAAATTTCAGCTAATCCAAAGCAGAAACCATCAAATTCATAATCAGATCTAATCAGATTTCAATCCGAAATTGGGGAAAATTGAAAATTCAACCCAATCGAACAGTGAAAACCAAATCGCAAGATCTCTAAGTGAATTGAAACATAACAATCCCACAGATTCATCGATTGAATTATGAATAATTGAGAGAAGGAAGCTCAGATTCCGATCTAAAAAATTGAAATCGGGAGTTTTTTCCGAGAAAAATTACCTTGCGATAAGTGGTACCGTCGTCTTCAACAATCCAACCAGCTTCAAGACAAAGAGCTTTAAGAACCTCGTTGTTATCACAGTGCTTAGGAAGCTTATAGTTACCTTGAGCTCTAAGACCAGAGTAAATCTTAGCAGTGATGGCTCTTCTTCTTCTTTCTCTCTTCTTATTGTTCTCTCTCTCTTTCCACGTCGGAGTTCGTCCCGACGATGATCCTCCTCCTCCTCCTCCTCCTCCTCCTCCTCCTCCGGCCGCCATTGAAGAGCTCTGAATCTATCTCTTAAGTTTTTTTGTTGGGGTCTGAAGTCTTTGTCAGTCTGGCGCACGAGGGAGAGAGAGAGACGAAGCTTTCTATTTTATTATTTTGCTTTTTTTTTTTTGGGTGTGTGTGAGAGTCTGAAGCGGATTGGCTGTAACTTTCATTCATAAGTATAAATAAATTCAAATATTCATTTGTCTCCACACGTGTGATTGATATTTTGGAAGTCAGCTTACACGTGTCTTATTTATGTAACGCACGAGCTGTGGTCCCCTCGCCGTTGCTTCCCTCCCTTCCCCTGTTCAATGAATTCGTATCTTTTTTTTATTTCCCTTTTTTTAATTATATTGAGTATTTCTTTTTAACTTTTTAAAATTTTTATTTTGCTTTTTGGCACAAAAAGCGTTGCAAGAATAAATATAACTGGATACTCTATTAAGTTGCATTGGTTTTATAGTTTTTAAAATGACGACATAATTGCATATTGTAACGCATTAAAACGGCATATTGTAACGCAATTAATACAAGGGGACTCATAAAAGTTTCACACAAAACTTTTTGTCATCATTATTTTGTATTTTCTTCGAAATGTAAAACCGTAAATTCCAAACTGATCTCATTTCCTAATATAATCTATTCTCTGAAATATAAATCTAACTTGAAATTATATATAGGTAGCTAAATAGTTTAAAACGGTCATATTGGATAACTTGATCGATGTTAATAAATAAAAAATGTATCCACATATTTAGGGAAACTAAAACTTAATTAAAAATGGAAATAAGAAAACAAACACCAATTTGGCTATCGTGGTCGGAGCACGTGCGGTTCCAGTTAGGCGTGAGCAAAAGACAGGAAGCAGAATCACCCAGCTGGACTCATGCCATTTTTATTTTTAGCCAACTAATTAATAATTAATCAAATCCTATTTACATATTACTCCCTCCGTTTCGTTTTACTTGTCGTTTTAAAGTTAAAATTTTGTTTCACATTACTTGTCGTTTTATATTTACAATGCAAATTTATGACAGATTTTCCAGTTTCAACCCTACTTTTTAAGCTTATTAATTACATATATCAAACAAAATAATGTATTAATTAGGGGTAAAACAATAACTTTAATCGTTTTCTTAATTTGTGTGAAATAACCTAGAACGACAAGTAATATGAAACGGAAGGAGTATTTTGTTAAATTTTCACAATCTTAAATTAATTAAAACAAATCATAAAATGTCATCTGTTATTATTGCATACCAATCAAATGAAACAAAAACATTTCTAATAATTGTGCTTATTACTTTATTCTACCAAACCACGTCTTCTCATTCATATTCACAAATCCAAAAACTACAAATGCAAAAACTAAAGTATATAGATAAAATCGGTGATGCGCAAAATTCCAATCTGGCAGAGTGACTTTGGATCAGATCATTCACGTGGGGGGAATCTTTAACATAATTTCAAATTGTACGGCGTGGTCACGTACATTTAATCTACTTACTTTTATTTTAATTGTTGATTAATCTAATTAATCGTGCGGCAACCATTAAGTCCTAATCCAACTATTATTCACTACTCACTATTGTTCAATGCATCGGTCAATATTGGTTAGTATTGCGTTTTAAAAATATTGTGCGTTTGTAAACGTTTCGATTTGTTGGCTACATTTTAACATTATTCTTAAATCAAAATATTATTTTATCAATAGCTGATTTCTGCATGTAGACATTATGAAATTGTCAGACAACCGAAAATCTCGGGATTTATTTTAACGAATTTGGGCATTTCGTTATTAAATTGAATGAAACATGATTTAAAGAAAAAAGAAATCAAAAAGAAACATGATTTGTCAACACCAAGTTGTATAGTCTGAGGCCCATGGGCCCTTAATTCAAACGTATTGGCCATGTTTTAATTACCAAGATTAACATATAACTTAAATTATACGTTACCATATCTATTCACATCCAAAAAATGGATAAAAATAAATGTAATCATGTTCTCTGACACTTACCCTGTAACGATCCACCCACCAAGCTACGTTACGTGCCTAATGATCGTTTAATACAATAAATACGTTAATCAACATAATTAATAACCACTTCAAGAAGACTTATCCAAAAAGAATCATCCAAAAAAATATGACGTCAATAACAAAAAGAATATCCAAAATCATACACTGTAATAAATTAATATATTCGGCGGGTCTTTAATCGTACGAGAATACTACTGGTGTCGGAACTTTAGATCCGATATTATAGAAAGCAACCAAACTCCGGCTCCGGTTAATCGGGAGTTCAAATTTTTGGATTTTGATGGGCCGTGCTCGAACTCGTACCGGTTTCATCTCCGTCGCGTTTAAATTCCTCCGGTCTCTGTTCCCTCGCAATCACCGTACTAATAGCATGAAGATAAAGTTAGCTCCTTTTTGACTTTTCTACTTTTGGGTTTTATCTCATTCGATTCAGATTCTGTATACACTTTAGGGTTCTTGGCTTGGCTCGTAGATTTGTTTAATCGATTACTTTATCTTTGGATTCAGTAGTCATCACAAAAAAATGGTTAACTGTTTCATTGTCTCTGGTTCTAAATCTTACAAAACTCAAAAACTTTCTTCGTCTCTGTTTTTTGAACAGAACCGGAACGTTTTTGGGGGTTTCGATTTCACTGATTCTTATAAACTTAGCTGCTATCATGGAACGAGCAGACGAGAATCTGTTGCCTTCGGTTTATAAAGAAGTGAGTGAAGCATTTAACGCAGGACCATCAGATTTAGGCTACTTAACATTCGTTAGAAACTTTGTTCAAGGACTTGCTTCTCCATTAGCAGGAGTTCTTGTCATTACCTATGATCGTCCCATTGTTCTTGCAATTGGTACTTTCTGTTGGGCTTTGTCTACTGCTGCAGTTGGAGCCAGCAGTTACTTCATTCAGGTATTTTTTGATCTGTTTCTTTTAAGGATTTTGATTTTGAAGTTTAAAGGTTTTGAACTGATCTTTTGGGTTTCTTGTGATCTAGGTTGCTTTATGGAGAGCAGTGAATGGGTTTGGATTGGCAATTGTTATACCGGCGCTTCAGTCGTTTATCGCAGATAGTTATAAGGATGGTGCCAGAGGAGCTGGTTTTGGTTTGTTGAACCTCATTGGTACAATTGGTGGTATAGGAGGAGGTGTTGTAGCTACGGTCATGGCGGGTTCAGAGTTTTGGGGCATACCAGGATGGCGTTGTGCTTTCATAATGATGGCAACGCTCAGTGCAGTGATCGGATTACTCGTCTTTCTCTTCGTTGTTGACCCCAGAAAGAACATTGAACGGTAAAAAACACTCACAAATTGTCCCTGATTATGAAGACTAAGACCAAAAGTTTGATAAGGTTTTGGGCTTGTAATTGTAGAGAGGAACTAATGGTTCATAAGATGAATTCGACCTCGGTTTGGAATGATTCATTGGCAGCTGCAAAATCTGTCATCAAAGTAAGTACCTTTCAGATAATCGTGGCGCAAGGAATCATTGGTTCGTTTCCGTGGACCGCAATGGTGTTCTTTACAATGTGGTTTGAGCTTATTGGTAAATGACTATTCCTACAAAAGCCTTGAACATCCATTATCAGTCAAGAACCGAGAATTTGAATGTAAACAGTCTTTTTTTGTTTGTTTTAGGTTTCGATCATAACCAGACTGCAGCTTTGCTTGGGGTATTTGCTACGGGAGGTGCGATAGGAACACTAATGGGAGGGATAATCGCGGATAAAATGTCACGGATATATCCAAATTCCGGTAGAGTGATGTGTGCACAATTCAGTGCATTCATGGGAATCCCATTCTCAATCATTCTTCTGAAAGGAATCCCACAAAACACAAGCAGCTACTCAATCTTCTCAATAACTCTCTTCTTGATGGGTCTTACCATAACTTGGTGCGGATCAGCGGTTAATGCACCCATGTTTGCAGAAGTCGTTCCTCCTAGGCACCGTACGATGATCTACGCGTTTGACCGTGCTTTTGAAGGGTCATTCTCATCTTTTGCTGCGCCTTTGGTTGGAATTTTGTCTGAGAAAATGTTTGGGTATGACTCGAGAGGTATTGATCCTTTGAAAGGTTCCTCTGTTCGTGAGGCTGATGCCCTTTCAAAGGGGCTTCTGTCGATGATGGCTGTTCCGTTTGGGCTCTGCTGTCTCTGTTACACTCCTTTACATTTTGTTTTCCAGAAAGATCGGGAAAACGCGAAAATGGCGAGCTCTAAAGAAACTGAAATGATCTGAGAGACTTAGATTGCTCAAGTTGTGATTCTTTTAATACCACAAACGATTTTGAAACCACTATGTGAAGCAGAGGTGGACTTATAAACCGAATCAGAAGAAACCAAGTTCATAGCAAAACTTTTAACCGTGACCAACAGAGAATTTGAAAGTTGAAAACACTTTCTTTTTTGCGTTTTAGTTCTGATGAAACTGAATAAATCAAAACTTATGTATATATGATTTAAATATTAATCTAAACCTGAATAAAATTCGAACACGTGACCTTTAACGAAATCTGCAAATTGCGATTAGAAAAATAAGACCGTTGTAAACGGTCCTTAATTGTGATCAATTGCCTTTTTTTAAAAGTCCAAATATGATAAAAGGAAAACAATCTGATGTTTCCTTTTTTTTTTTGGCGTGAACCTCTCTTTATAAATATCCATCTTTTCTTCCTTCCTTGAGAAATAAATCATAATTACTTCTTCTAAAACCTAAAAAATTCTATGCGACAGTTTTACAAAGATGATCGCTGATTCCGAGACCGTGAAATTGATGATCCATATACATCGACGAACTGTACCAACGCCATGTCGAGAGAGGCCTCTTGTGTTTGATCAATTTTTCACGATGCCATGTCGAGAGAGGTCTCTCGTGTTTGATCAATTTTTCACGATCTCGGATTAATTATGGAGGATTACTTTGAGTTGCAGAAGCGAGTCCGACGTAACGCCAAATATGAATGCATCTATACTTTCGGGAAAATATCACAATGAGAATCACGAGTGAAAGTGACGACGAGATTTGGAGTTTCGGTTAAGTCTAGTGAGAGATCTCACAAATATCACGTCTCCTCCATTAGTCTACCAGAGTTTTTGACATGACCGGCAATTGATTCACGATGGAGATGATGGCGTTAGAGATTAGAGAGAGAAATTAAGCAATTGCAATCATCAAAACTCTTTGGGTCTACGAAGCCCAACAAAAAGAAACTGCCAAGCCCATACCCATTTGTCAGGTCAATTTCTTCTATTCCATCTTAATACTCAATTTTAGCAAACTAGTTATTTATTTGTTTTTTTGCTTATTATACAAAATATTTTCAAACTTAAATGTTAAATTTAAATACGTGAAAACGGTTAGACTTAGCATCCCGTCCTTTTGGTCTGTAAGTCTTGTGGTGTCATAAGTTCAACATGTTTTCACGTATTTAAATTTAATTTTAAGGTTTTTTTTTAAAAATAATGTTTTAAATAAATCGCTTATATATTTTTTAGCTAAAAGTTTTTTACCATACAAAATATTTTCAACACTTAAATGTTAAATTTAAATACGCGAAAACGGTTAGACTTAGCATCCCGTCATTTTGCTCCGTAAGTCTTGTGGTGTCATAATATTTTAAGTATTTTTACGTATTTAAATTTAATTTTAAGATTTTTTCAAAAATAATATTTTAAGTAAACCGTTTAAATATTTTTTAGCTAAAAGTTTTTTTATTATACAAAATATTTTTACTAACAAAATATTTTCAAACTTAAATGTTAAATTTAAATAAGTGAAAACGGTTAGACTTAGCATCCTGTCCTTTTGGTCCGCAAGTCTTGTGGTGTCATAAGTTCAACATGTTTTTACGTATTTAAATTTAATTTTAAGATTTTTTCAAAAATAATATTTTAAGTAAACCGTTTAAATATTTTTTAGCTAAAAGTTTTTTTATTATACAAAATATTTTTACTAACAAAATATTTTCAAACTTAAATGTTAAATTTAAATACGTGAAAACGGTTAGACTTAGCATCCCGTCCTTTTGGTCCGTAAGTCTTGTGGTGTCATAAGTTCAACATGTTTTTACGTATTTAAATTTAATTTTAAGATTTTTCAAAAATAATATTTTAAGTAAACCGTTTAAATATTTTTTAGCTAAAAGTTTTTTGTTATACAAAATAATTTTACTAACAAAATATTTTCAAACTTAAATGTTAAATTTAAATACGTGAAAACGGTTAGACTTAGCATCCCGTCCTTTTGGTCCGTAAGTCTTGTGGTGTCATAAGTTCAACATGTTTTCATGTATTTAGATTTAATTTTAAGGTTATTTTAAAAATAATGTTTTAGTAATCGTTTAGATATTTTTTACCTAAAAGTTTTTTTTACTATACAAAATATTTTCAAACTTAAATGTTAAATTTAAATACGTGAAAACGGTTAAACTTAGCATCCTTTTTTTTGGTCCGTAAGTCTTTTGGTGTCATAAGTTTAACATGTTTTCACGTATTTATATTTAATTTTAAGGTTTTTTCAAAAATAATGTTTTAAGTAAATCGTTTAAGTATTTTTTACATAAAAGTTTTTTTACTATACAAAATATTTTCAAACTTAAATGTTAAATTTAAATATGTGAAAATGGTTAGACTTAGCATCCCGTCCTTTTGGTCCGTAAGTCTTGCGGTGTCATAAGTTCAACATGTTTTCATGTATTTAGATTTAATTTTAAGGTTTTTTCAAAAATAATGTTTTAAGTAAACCGTTTAAATATTTTTTAGCTAAAAGTTTTTTTATTATACAAAATATTTTTACTAACAAAATATTTTCAAACTTAAATGTTAAATTTAAATACGTGAAAACGGTTAGACTTAGCATCCCGTCCTTTTGGTCCGTAAGTCTTGTGGTGTCATAAGTTCAACATGTTTTTACGTATTTAAATTTAATTTTAAGATTTTTTCAAAAATAATATTTTAAGTAAACCGTTTAAATATTTTTTAGCTAAAAGTTTTTTGTTATACAAAATATTTTTACTAACAAAATATTTTTAAACTTAAATGTTAAATTTAAATACGTGAAAACGGTTAGACTTAGCATCCCGTCCTTTTGGTCCGTAAGTCTTGTGGTGTCATAATTTCAACATGTTTTCATGAATTTAGATTTAATTTTAAGGTTTTTTCAAAAATAATGTTTTAAGTAAATCGTTTAGATTTTTTTACCTAAAAGGTTTTTTAGTATACAAAATATTTTTAAACTTAAATGTTAAATTTAAATACGTGAAAACGGTTAGACTTAGCATCCCTTCCTTTTGGTCCGTAAGTCTTGTGGTGTCATAAGTTCGACATGTTTTTACGTATTTAGATTTAATTTTAAGGTTTTTTCAAAATTAATGTTTTAAGTAAATCGTTTATATATATTTAGGTAAAAGTTTTTTTATTGTATAAGATATTTTCAAACAAAAATGTTAAATTTAAATACGTGAAAATGGTTAAACTTAACATCCCTTCCTTCTGGTCCGTAAGTCTTGTGGTGTCATAAGTTCAACATAATGTTTTTCAAAAATAATGTTTTAGTAAATCGTTTAGATATTTTTACCTAAAAGTTTTTTTACTATACAAAATACTTTCAAACATAATGTTAAAATTTAAATACGTGAAAACGGTTAGACTTAGCATCCTGTCTTTTTGGTCCGTAAGTCTTGTGGTGTCATAAGTTCAACATGTTTTCACGTATTTATATTTAATTTTAAGGTTTTTTTCGAAAATAATGTTTTAAGTAAATCATTTAGATATTTTTTACCTAAAAGTTTTTTTATTATACAAAATATTTTCAAATTTAAATACGGGAAAACGGTTAGACTTAGCATCCAGTCCTTTTGGTCCGTAAGTCTTGCGGTGTCATAAGTTCAACATGTTTTCACGTATTTAGATAAAATATTTTTTATAGATAAAATGTTTTCAAACCTAAGTATTAAATTTAAATACGTGGAAACTAACTGGACTTAGCATTCCGCCTTTTTTGGTCCGTAATTCTTGTGGTGTCAGAAGTTCAACATATTTTTACGGATATTAAATTGATCGTTTTGGCTAAGTTTTAAGGTTTTTCACAAATAATGTTTTAAGTAAATTGTTTTGATTTTACAATTTTGTTTTAAGAACTAAACTAAGTGTTAAAATTTAACGAATGTGTAACGAATTTATCTCTCAGTAAAATATCTCTCAATGTGGTCTTTTATAAATTCTGAAACCGCTTAGTGAAGCAGAGGTGGATAAACCGAAACATAAGAAACCAAAATCCATAGCAAAAGTTTTAACCGAGACTAACAGAATTTAAAGTTGAAATATTTTTTTTTTTTCGTTTTACTGCTGATCAAACCGAATAAATCAAAACTTGTGTTCATATGATTTACATTTTAATCTAAACCTGATACCAAAATTTTGGTTTAGACCGAACCAAACAAAAAAAAATTCCAGTTATGAAGGCTATATTATTTCCAACAGTATTTTGAATGAAATTCAAACAAATAATTTATAAGGAAACCAAGAAATGACAAAGATCAAACATGTTACACAATTCCTTTCAGTCTCCTTTATCGAATTCTCACGAACTAAAGTTCACAAGATTTCGATCTAAGGAAAGGGTTTCTTTTACGCGGAATGTAATTTTACAAGATCAAACAAACAGACAAGGGTCCTTGAGAAAGAGAAGAAATACAATGGCGGATAAAGGGCTTGGTTCTTATCTTTTTTCTTGAAGAAGACAAACCAGAGCTTTGTTAGATACAGCGCGGGAAAAAGGTTTGACCAACATATCCCCCGGTCATGGCCCTGCGAACATTGGTCTCAAACAGCTTTGGGTTATCCCTTAAAACTGCTGCTGCATCATGGTTCAAGGGATCTTCAGAATTGGGTTCCTGTGTGAAAACAAACACTCAGTTCAGAAACCAAATAACACAAAACCTAGTTTGATCAAACTGTCTAGCTAATTACCGTGAACAGATGGAAGAGTCCATAGATAACTGTGTTTATGTTAAGAACCGGTTTCCAATCTTCACGCAAGATGTTCAGGCAAACGTTTCCTTCCAAATCGATATTGGGATGATAAACCTAAACAAGAAAACAAACAAAGAGCTTTTACAATTATACAACACAAGCAATTTTTAAGTAGAAATGTAAACTATATAAGGAATGTAAAAGGAGGAGCCTACCTTGGTTTTGCATTTAACTTTTGGAGCTTCATGTGGATACACAGGAGAAACTTGGAATGTGAAAACAAACGTACCATTGCTGTTTAATTGGTAAGAAGGAAAAAACAAATGAGTTTCCAAAAAAGTTTTAAGCGCGAAAGTATGAAACAAAAACGCAGATTTCAGTAAGAAAAAAAAACTCTACTTAACTGGTAATATCCATCATCAGGTTTAATGGACACTTCAAAGTTCATCAAATCATCTTTGCCATTTGGAAAAGATATCGAACAAGAGCTAGGAAGGTTCAACTCTGATATATCTGCACAGTTCAATATCGGAAAAACCATACCAACAATGACCAAATGAAACAACAATTGTGAAACAGAGAAGAAGACATCAATGGAGTATATATATAAATACCTTTGTGAAGACGAAGTTCGCCAGCAGATTGCTTCTTAACAGAAGCTCCTCCTCTAGTAGCATTTTGAGCTTGTTCTCTTTGCTTTTCCTTAACTTTAAATAACCCAATCATTGCTTCTCACTTCTTAAGAAACTCACACACAACTGTGACAAATCAAAGAACGAATGATTAACTCTATGTCAATGATTAAAACAAATTTAACAACTGCAAAGTCATAATTTTTACGATTCTTGGTTCATCACTTAAGAAATCAAGAAGACCTATAAAAATCTATCCTTTCGATATATAAAACCACAACTGCAACTAAACTCATAAACAAACACTTTAAATTAATTATGGTAACAAAGCCCAAATCCGAAGATCCCTAAAACAAAGCTATAACCAAAATCTCAGAAATAAAAACGCGTTTATTACAAGACAAGCTAATCTACTTAACAGGTTTCAAGATCGGAGACTTTCCACATAATATGAACCAGAAAGCTAAAAACAACAACTAGGTCGAAACATCGAAAAGTTAGAACACCAAAGACAATCAAACAAAGAAAATGGAGGAAGAAGAAGCTTACAAGTTTGATTAAATTCGTTGCGAAAATCGAAACAAATTACGAGCGAATTCAAAAAAGGTCGCCGATTCTCTCTCGCCCACCGGATTGTCGTCCTCTGAAGCTAAACGACGAAGAAACAGAAGAGAAATGTTGCAATAACACACAATCGTAGCTTTTTCTCGACGCTGAATCAGAGAATCAAAACTCGTAGCTGGTTTTTCTTGAGTTTCAGCTAGGCCCATTAAGCCCGTTAGGCCCATTCAATTATCTACTATCTTCTTTTTTTTTTTTTTTTTTTTTTTTTAACAACTATCTACTATCTTCAACAATAAATTTGGGTAGTTTGCGCGCAGATGTCAGAAATCAACGTCACAAGGTGATTTGTGACCCGTATGCATTTTTTATGCCATTTTTACTAATTTCGTGTAACAAATCAACATACATCATAATCGTTACGTAATCATCTAAATTCAATTTGTGGTATATAAGAAAAATAACATATGAGATTATGAATTAGAGATTTTGATATTTTACCAAAACAACAATATATTTGTGGTATATAATTGAAAATAAATAGACAAAAATCTACAAAACGACAAGTAATTATCTATAATCTAAGCCAGAAAGATATCATCTTTGTGCTATAAAAACATTTTCCATAGACTTAGAAAATAATAAAAATAAAAACAGTGAAAAAAGAGAAAAGATGCTTTTCAATAAAAGAAAACATCGTCATCTCCACCACTAAGAAGGCCCATTCCATTACACAACCCTATCTGTTGTTACTTCTAGCTTCACTAATGGCCAATCCAATTCTCTATTGATTTTGACTCCAATTTCCAAAAAAACAAAAAAAATTAATATAAAAAAAAAACACACACAAACTCAAATCTCAAATCTAAAACCGCAGATTTCAGAAATCGCCATGGCTTCAGTAACACTAGGTTCATGGATTGTTGTTCACCACAATCATCATCATCATCCTTGTTCAATCTTCACCAAATCCAGATCCAGATCTTCTTCTTCTTCTTCTCCCATAACTCTTACTAAACCCATCTCTCTACGTTCAAAACGCATCGTTTCATCTTCTTCAATCGAGACTTCTTCTTCCGTTGTCACAAAAGAAGACAATCTCCACAAATCTGAACCATCTTCCTTCGATTTCATGTCGTACATCATTACCAAGGCCGAATCAGTTAACAAAGCTTTAGATTCAGCTGTTCCTCTCCGTGAGCCACTCAAGATCCATGAAGCTATGCGTTACTCTCTCCTCGCCGGTGGCAAAAGAGTTAGACCAGTTCTCTGCATCGCCGCTTGTGAACTCGTCGGCGGCGATGAATCAACCGCTATGCCAGCGGCTTGCGCCGTCGAGATGATTCACACCATGTCGTTGATCCATGACGATCTACCTTGTATGGATAACGACGATCTCCGCCGTGGAAAACCGACGAACCACAAAGTGTTTGGTGAAGACGTAGCTGTTTTAGCCGGAGACGCGCTTCTCTCGTTCGCTTTCGAGCATTTAGCGTTGGCGACGAGTTCTGATGTTGTATCTCCGGTGAGAGTGGTTCGAGCCATTGGAGAATTGGCTAAAGCAATTGGAACAGAAGGGTTAGTGGCGGGTCAAGTCGTTGACATTAGTAGTGAAGGGTTAGATTTAAACGACGTCGGTTTAGAGCATTTGGAGTATATCCATTTGCATAAAACGGCGGCGTTGCTTGAAGCTTCTGCGGTTTTAGGAGCGATCGTTGGTGGAGGAAGTGATGATGAGATCGAGAGGTTAAGGAAGTTTGCGAGATGTATTGGTTTGTTGTTTCAGGTGGTTGATGATATCTTGGATGTGACGAAATCGTCGAAAGAGTTGGGGAAAACTGCTGGGAAAGATTTGATTGCTGATAAATTGACGTATCCGAAGATTATGGGTTTGGAGAAATCGAGAGAGTTTGCTGAGAAGTTGAATAAAGAGGCTCGTGATCAGCTTTTAGGGTTTGATTCTGATAAGGCTGCTCCTTTGTTGGCTTTGGCTAATTACATTGCCTATAGACAGAACTGATTGTGTTCGATTTCTTTTGTCGGGAATCATTATTAGATTGGAATTGTAGAAATCTCGGACAGGTTCTAGAGTTTGTTGGTGTAATCATCTCTATGTTTCCATGTACTACCAAAAAAAATTGGATAGTAAGGGCATCATCAATGGGGGATCATGTGAGGGTGTTCTTATAGAGAATATAATGTTAAAATAATGTAAGATCATGTGTTTAGATCTTTTGTTTAGAAGTTGATTAGTGGGAGAACATGTGTAAGATCTTAAGACTTAATAATATAATAATCTAAATTAAATTAAGATTTTACAATTATTAAAACATTTAAAAATAACATATAAATTGCAAATGCCAAATTTATGAAAAACTGAAAATAAAAGTGAAAATACAATACTAAATATTTATGAAAAAAACATTAAAAATATAAATAACAATAAACAAACAAACATATTACTTAATAAAAGCACAAAAATATTTTATCTAATTAATACATAGTTTATTATCCAAATTTATTCCAAATATGTTGAATATTCCAACCAATGCCCAAATGCCACGTCACCCCGCAACACCCACAAGAACAGATCCAGGTCAAGAGCCCAGTTCCTGATCTTAAGCCCATTAACCCATTTTTTTGGATTTAAATAATGCTTAGATCAGGGGGGGTGATCCCCCAATGCAGATGGTCTAATGGATGCAATATTAAGAGGTTCATGTGTAATAGAGTCCTTGTTGGATTTGTAAGTCTTTTTTGAATATGAAACTCTCTCTTCTTTTGGATCTGTTCTTTTGGATGTGGTTTTAGTACAGGAACACTGATTGGATCTGATAGATTCGCTAGTTCTTTGGTCATTAGATTAGTTATTGAATGTATAACAAGTTGACAACTAATACGAGTATACGACGTTGGTTTTGGGCGTAAAACTAAAACCAATCAAGTCAACGAGCAAAACAGAGTTTAAAGATGGTCCGAGACAAATCTTGAATGGGCCAACCTCATGTATTGGTTCCCCAAGATCTTCATTCAATTAGATGGACAAAACAAGAGCAGCTGCTAAAGATCTTCATTCAAGAATCAGAGTTGCGATTCAATCTGTTGATTCGATTTCAAAGCTGGTTGAGAGAATCAGTTCAATCAGAGATGATGAGCTCGAGAGCCACAGCTATTAGAATTTCTTCAAGAGTATATTAGTAACTAATAATCAAATGTCTTTTTAACTTTTGGGCTTTCGACAGGGCCAATCATATATTTCGGCCGAAAAGCCCAATACGTTTTCAGAAACAATTGAGTCCCACATCGAAAAACGAATAAACAGTTACTAACTTATGGCCCTATAAATAAAGCTCTCCATATGCATTGTAAACAGACAAACAGTGATGGGCTTTCCACGAAGGCCCAACTGGTGGCTTAATTGCCCAAAAGTACAAAATGTTTTCTCATGCTTTTTTTTTTATACTGGTTTTATAGGTTTTAAACGTTTTTTTCAAATCTATTTTTGTTTTTTTGTTTTAATAAGTGTTAAATTTTTAAATTTTGTGTAAACTAATTGGATACAACATTCAAACCCCTAAGAGGTGTTCTAGGTTCAATATAGTTTACACATAATTGAATTTTTAATACTTATGTTTTTTTTTAATGTTTTGTTTTTTTTTGTTTTTGTTTTTTTATAAGTGTTAAATTTTTTAATTTTGTGTAAACTAATTGGATACATCATCCAAACCCCTAAGAGGTGTTCTAGGTTCAATATGGTTTACACATAATTAAATTTTTAATACTTATGTTTTTTTTTTAATGTTTGTTTTTGTTTTTTTAGAAGTGTTCAAATTTTAATTTTGTGTAAACTAATTGGATACATCATCCAAACCCCTAAGAAGTATTTTAGGTTCAATATGGTTTACACCTAATTAAATTTTAAATACTTAAGATTTTTTTTAAATGTTTTGTATTTTTGTTTTTTTTGATAAGTGTTAAATTTTTTAATTTTGTGTAAACTAATTGGATACATCATCCAAACCCCTAAGAAGTATTTTAGGTTCAATATGGTTTACACCTAATTAAATTTTAAATACTTAAGATTTTTTTTAAATGTTTTGTATTTTTGTTTTTTTTTATAAGTGTTAAATTTTTTAATTTTGTGTAAACTAATTGGATACATCATCCAAACCCCTAAGAGGTGTTCTATGTTCAATATGGTTTACACATAATTAATTTTTTAATACTTATGTTTTTTTAAAAAAAAATGTTTTGTTTTTTTGTTTTTATTTTTTTTATAAGTGTTAAAATTTTAAATTTTGTGTAAGCTAATTGGATACAACATCCAAACCCCTAAGAGGTGTTCTAGGTTCAATATGGTTTACACATAATTAAATTTTTAACATTTATTTTTGTTTATTAAAAATGTTTTTTAAATTACTATTAAAGGTTTTTTATTTGAAGATGTAGAACATTACATAAGGAAGATGTTTGTTTGATGGAGAAATATAATACAATATGGACGCAAGAGTTCTTAATTTCAACACCAAACTAACATCATATACTGATATACATCGAATTGCCAACACTTTTATTGGAATCATGTTATTATATATTCGACTCGAATCTTATTGTACGATTAACTTCTAAAAAGGATTTGCTATATTTGCTCCGTACACAACTTGCCGTTTTATTTATTTATTTAAAATCACTTACTCATATAAGTAATAAAATTTTATGGTCTATAATCAATGTGTAATGACTTCCATTCTTTTCGGAATATCCGTGTCTTGTGGTGTTGGGTACAGGTAGCGTGAAAAAATTTAGGATTTTTATTCTCACTTTCTCAATAATATCTTTCATGTTTTCTTTGATGAATCTATGTTTTCAGTTCATTTTCTATCCATATATGCCATGTGCATATATTCGTCTAATAAGAATATCACATTATAAAAAAATATTCTTACGTGAAAATTATCTATTTTTTCCAACATGTTTTATCCGGTGATGCTATTTTGAAAAAACAAATTTTGTAGGATATGTTTCTTTTTGTTGTTTTTTTAAAGCGAAGGGAAATATATAGTTCTATCCTACACTATTATATACATATTACTTTTGAATTAGAATCATGATTATTGTTTGGAGATAAGACTAATTAATATTTTAGGATTAAACAAAAAATAAAGGTTATCCTACTCATTTGGTGCAAAGAATTCAAGATCTCATTAATTACTGAACCATACTTTAAACCAAATAAAATAAAGTCTCAAGAATTTATATTAAACCGTTCATAAATGTGTCTAGTCACAAAACAGTGAAAATATTCTCTTATGTTATTACACATTACATCCCAAAATCATATCTTTTCTAACATACTATTTAGAAGATAAAACAGAAAATGTGGCGACACGTCCGTGTTCAAATTTACTGAATTACCATACTTAGTAATTTCATACACATTATACATCACATTTGTTTTCTCTTCATTAGGTGCAAATTGGATAAAAACGAAAAAAAGTGGCAACACGTCATTGTTTCAAATATTTACTGAGTTTTCCTTATATAGACATTATTACATCACAAAAAAAAATCATCTCTTTAACATTACCATTTACTACTAGATGCAAATAGATAAAAATTATCTCTTTTAACATCATCAGTTACTAGATGTAACAAGATAAAACAGAAAATGTGGCGACACGTTTTTGCCTTTCTTTTTTAATCTGTTGTGTTACTCATAGTCAAATAAGTTATTTAGATATTATTATTACCTTTTAAAAATTTAATCGGACGGTTAAGGAGGCACCGCAAGCTATCACCAACATAAATCCAACCACGTGGACGGTAGTCACCTATCAATATATTCACAAAAAGGCAGCGTTTATTGAATTTCTCGTGATATATATCTGCTGACGTGTATGATATGAACCCCACAAGGTTAATAAATTAAATTGTAACAGAGAATTTTGGTTACCTATATAAAGCTCGCTCTTGCTGTTTCATTTTTCAAGTAGTAACTGAAATCGAATTCATTTTTTTCTCTCTTTGTTTTTGGGATTTCGATTTATTTTTTTTGTTGTCATGGTGATGATGAAGAAGCTTTTGTCGCAACGTTTGTTCAATATGTCAAAAATGGCGTCGCAAAGTCTCATGAACTGTCGTACTTCGTCTTCTTCGTTAGCCATGCGAACTAGAGTTCCTAAAGATATAGGAGAAGCCACGATTGATCCAGAGCCTGGGGATTTGATAATTCCTCGGAGGTTTTTGCATAAAATCTCCATGAATACGACTTCGAAGATGTCAATGGGAGAGAGTTTGATGGAGAAGCTTCGAGAGATGGATGTGAACAAGGATAGGATTCGATTAGACGGTCTTTCTTCTCCGAAGGAGGAGACGTTGGGGCTTACTTTGCAAGACGTGAAGAAGTTGCTAAGAGCGTCAGAGATTGAAGTTGTTAAAACGAAGCTCTTGGAGACCGGGAAAATCTGGATTCGTTACTCCGATTTTGTTCGTGTTTGTAGTGACTCTTCTTTGGATCCTTCTCAAGGACCTTTGATCGCAAAGATGCTTGATGATTCAGGAAACGTTATCGTTTTGGGAAACTCTGTTTGTTTAAGACCTGATCAGGTAACTTCTTCTTTCTCTCTGTTTAAGATTTTGTTTTGTTTCTTTGTTGGTTTGATTTGATTTGGAAGCTACCAAAAAACTGATAAGGTCTTGTGTGATGATCAGGTAACCAAATCCATCGAGGGGCTGCTTCCTTTACCACAGATTCATAACCCGAATGACCCAAGAAGAAAGGAGCTAAAAGAGCTTGAAGCTATAAAGACAGTCATCGAACAGAAAGCACATTCTTTGGTGAGAAGAGAGCTTTGGGCTGGTCTTGGTTACTTGATCATCCAAACCGCAGGGTTCATGAGGCTAACGTTTTGGGAACTCACATGGGATGTTATGGAACCGATATGTTTCTATGTCACATCGGTATATTTCATGGCGGGTTATGCGTTTTTCCTCAAGACATCTAGAGAGCCTTCCTTTGAAGGGTTTTACCAAAGCAGGTTTGAGGCTAAACAGAAGAAACTGATGGAATGTGAGGATTTTGATGTTGGGAGGTACGATGAGCTGAAGAAGCTGTTAAATCCCAAGCCTTCAGGTGCTGTTTCCAAGATTCTTGGAACTCTATGGAATTGATCATTGGTGTCTCGTTGTCCTACTAACCTGAGAAAGATAAATTGACCCCCAAAATTGTGTCAAACAATAATTTTGAAATTTACATAATCTTTCTAGGAGAAAAAAAAAGAGAAAAGGACCAAAAAAGAAGAAGAGAGGTTCTAATAGTGCGGCTTATAATTATCAATTATGTAATTTGGAAGAGTAGATAAAAAAACTCATTGTGATGTATATGTAATAAAAACTAAAAACTATTATCATATTTTATTTCTAAATTTCAAGTCTGACTTTCTGAGAATATCTCAATGCATATGAGATTTCGTTTGTCGAGTGTGAATTTGTGAATTTTATTGATACGGTCATTAAGAATCTTATTACTTTTACTTTAAGCTATATTATACGATTATATATACCAAAAACTCATTTTGCCATTTGACGCCTAAATCTTATTGAGGTAATTCTGAAATGATTTTAAGTTTTCCGTATAGCTAGCTTATAAATGATTTTTAGTTCTTAAATATAACATGTATAACATATGCTTAATAATTATTTCGTCGGACTTACATAAATGATTGATACAACATGTTATGCGTGGGAGTAGTTGTTGTAACTTGTAAGTTCACCGTCCAAGTCTCCTTTTAATTAATTCACGAGAAATCAACTACGACCGTGTAAATAAAAATCTGAGTTTGGTAGGTCAAGACTCACTTTGTGGAAAATGAGACAAAAGAAAAGAGTCACTTGTGGAAAATAACATCAAGTGGACAAAACCAAATTCCTCATAGTGAAAAAGAGCTATATTACACAGTTCCTGCCGCATTTGTTTGGTACGTATCTAATACTGATTTTGTTTACTCATACGAATAAACAAAGTGGTACTATAACGCTTATCGCCAAAATAACGATAAGGACAATTGATTTTTACTAATTTTATTTGATACGAATCAAATATCTTCTGTCTTAGCTGGTCATCAAACTGTGTGAAATAGTAATTTTATAACTCGTTACTGATGATGATTCATCTTCGTAACAATCGCCCGACGCATATTCCAATATTTAAATTTTGTTTTTAAGTAATGCTCTCTTTCTCATCTATATCTTCTTGAGTAAAATTAAAACTCTTAACCATGAAGGGATAAAGCAGTATATGGACGCTTGTCTGAATTTCTCAACCCCAAACTCTCTTTCGTGTGTAGAGAGGTTCTTTGGTTTTCCCACCTGCTTTTCTAATATGGTAATCAACTTGACCCGTAGTCGCGTACCAAGTTTTCTGATTCCTTTTTGATTCGAAGATATTTTCAAATATGGTTTGCTATTTCGACAATAATAGTAAAATCCCATTAAGACCATAAATCTTGAATTTTTCATAACCGTTTTACAAGATTTATTCATATAGCCTAATTTAATTTGTCACGTAAATGTGACCATTAATATTGGTCCACATCATTTTGCTTTCATGACAAGACCGGCCATTTAGTGACCTATGTTCTACACCAATTATTGGAAATTAAAAATTAAACAACTCCCAAAAAAAAAAAAAAACAGAAACAGATCTTCACATATGTGAAAAAGTCACACGCACACATATAAAGACACTCGAGGGAAGAAGAAGAAGACGAAGAAGAGTCACCGTGATCACCACCACCGTCGGATCAAAACCAAACCATGTCAACGGCGTTGATCAACTCTCTCACCTACTACCTCTCCGAACATCCATACATCGTCGGATTCCGTTGGAGCAACAGCCAATCATGGGGCTCCACGTGGTCTTTCCTCTTCACCTCTATCTCCCTCTACATCGCCGTCTCCTCCACCCTCCACATCCTCCTCTCCGCCGTACTCCGCCGTAAACGTTCCGTTCCTTTAGGCCACATCCCCGAAATCCACAGCCTTCTCATGTCAATCCTCTCCGCCACGATTTTCGCCGGAATCCTCCTCTCCGCCGCCGCAGAGATCCGTGACACACGGTGGTTATGGCGGCGGAGCAAAACCGCCACTCCTCTCCAATGGCTACTCTGTTTCCCTCTCGGGACTCGTCCCTCCGGTCGTGTCTTCTTTTGGTCGTACGCGTTTTACCTCACGCGCTTTCTCCACATGTTCCGTACGATCTTCGCCGTTTTACGTCGCCGGAGACTCGCCGTGTCTCAGCTGTTTTGTAACTCCGTCATGGCATTCACGTCGTTCCTTTGGCTCGAATTCTCGCAGTCGTACCAGATTCTAGCGATTCTATCGACGACGCTGGTTTACTCTGTGGTTTACGGTTACAGATTTTGGACCGGGTTTGGTTTACCCGGTTTGGCTTTCCCCTCGTTTGTGGTGAATTGTCAGTTGGTTCTCGTGGGATGTAATCTCGTGTCTCACGCAGGGGTTCTTACGATGCACCTCTTTAAAGGTGGATGCAATGGGATCGGCGCGTGGGGTTTAAACTCGGTTCTCAACGGTGCGATTTTGTTGCTTTTCCTTAACTTTTATGTGAGAATGCATTCTCCAATGCGACGCCGTATTAATAACACTTCGCCGGAGCTTGATCTACAAGCCAACGTAACGCTTAAGAATTAACTCAATAAACCAGATTGGAGTAAAACTGAAAACTTAAATCCAAATTATTTCATTCTTCTCAATGTGTTTTATGTTTTTTTTTTTAATCGTAACTCTAGTTATGTGTACACCTAGTACTGTTAATTGCTAATAAGCTACTCTTTTTTTTCCTAGTATGCAAAATCGGGAAAAAAATCTTAGATTATTTGTAAGAAATTATTTTAAAAAAACGAATTATATCACATATGAATCTGCGCTTCCTCGTGTTTCTCCTTCCATTGATGAGACTCTAACCTTGGAGCCTGAAGCTCTGTTTCTGCTACCACAAGCCTCTCTTCCATTTAACTACAATCCATAGCCACCACTTTCAAAACCAATGCCAAATCATCAGATATATCTTTAAACTTTAAAGAAGAAGCTGATTTAGCTCGCTCTTAACCCTCTTCTAACAAATCAGATATCTATAAAGAAGAAGAAGCTTGTGCAGCCTCATGAGCCTGTGCCTTGGTTGATTCCATCTCAAACTTGATAGACTCAATATCCAAATCCTGAACAGAACTATCTTCCTCTTCTTCTTGGCTCGAGAATCTTGGCTATGTAAGATTAATCTATCAAAATGATCACGAAGAGACTTTCCTGCAGATTTAGAAGATGATAACAATTATGGATTGAGTAAAAGCTTTACAGAAACATATATATCGAACAGAGTTAACAGACACAGACAGTGAGTGTTTATGCAATCTTGTTTCCAAAAAAGACTTCAAAGCAAGCAACGCAAAGACAGAGAAAGAGACTTGTTGTCATGAAAATGCTCAAACTTTGTTTCCAAAAATCTACACAAGCTCGCAGAATCTTACGATTTACATCACAAACCATATCCTAAACCTATTAAAAAAAAGGAAACAAACACAAAACAGTTAAGAGAAAAGTCAACACAGAAGACTCACAAAAAAAAGGAAATTTTGAAAAGAGTTAAAAAAAGGAAACTTTGAATTCCAAAAAAAAGGAAACTTTGATTACAAGAAAAATCTATATATACATCACAAACGTTTTTAGTATCATCACAATTCACAAACCCAAAGAAACCCAGAGAGAGAGAGAGAGTTGTTGATCCATCTTTGGCTTCAAATTGTTCGACGTTTTGATTTGTTTCTTTGCCGTTGCTCTTCGACAACCAAACAAAACCAAAGAAGAGAAGATCATGATTGAAGATGATGTGGATTTCAGGCTTCGGAATCATGATATTGGAGCGTCTATCCGGCGACGACGGAGATGGTGATAGAGGGAGCAGAAGATTGAGGACGTCGCTTTGATTTCCGGTGAAGAGTGCTTTTGCGTTTCCAGAGAGGTTGCGTTTTTCATTGAAGCTTCTCTCCGGCGAACAGCAGCAATCGACGACGGCGATGGCTTGCGTTTCCGGTGGAGATTAAAGGGTGGCTTTCAAGATGCCGAGTGATAAGTGGGTTGGATTGATGACGTCATCAAAGCCCTTTTGCACAACAAAGCCCAACAAAAGGAAAATTAATTTCAGCCCATAAGAAAGGTCAATTTCTAACCCTTCTTAATTTTTTTCTTCTGTTTGATTTTTTTAAAAAATTTTTGATTGATACTAAATTTACATAATGATATGAAAACTAACCGGATTTTGGATCCAGCATTATGTCGTTAGCGATTCCAAACATTCAACTTGCTTTTCCTATTATTATGTCAATTTAGCATTCAATTTTTTAATTCGGATTTTTAAAAATAGTTTTAAAATTTTGATTTTCTTTCTTTTCGGATTTTTAAAAACTTCTTTTCTTGTGTTTGTTTTTAATTTTTTTTATTGATACTAAATTTACATAATGATATGAAAACTAACCGGATTTTGGATCCAACATTATGTCGTTAGCGATTCCAAACATTCAACTTGTTTTTCCTATTATTATGTAGATTTAGCATTCAAGTTTTTAATTCGGATTTTTCAAAATAGTTTTTAATTTATGATTTTGTTTCTTTTCGGATTTTTAAAAACTTTTTTTTATGGTGTTTGTTTTTTTTAATTTTGTTTTTTATTGATACTAAATTCCTACTATTATGTAGATATTCAAGTTTTTAATTCAATTTTTAAAATAGTTTTGAAATTTTGATTTTGATTTTTTTTTTCCGGGATTTTTAAAAGTTTTTTTTCCTTGGGTTTGTTTTACTTAAATTTACTTGTTTAATACTAAATTTACATAATAATATAAAAATCTAATCGGATTTTGGATCAAACATTAGTTGTTAGAGATATACAAAAGAAAAAATCATTAGTAAATCTACTAAAAGGAAAAAAAGAGCTCGTCTTCTCTCTCAAAACACAAAACACAAAACCTAACTTGAATGAGAATCTATCTCACGAAAGATCGATCAATCAAAGGGATATCTAAGATTTCCGGTTCTTGCATATTGACAATGTCCAATGACGTCCTCGAAGTGCCAATGTGCAAGAAGGCGAAGAAATCATCTCCCTCGTGTTCTGCTGGTTTCTCGTCGTTGCCGGAAGCTTTGGCTCTGAGCTGTATAGCTCGCGTCTCGAGATTGGACCAAACAGCCTTATCTCTCGTCTCCAAGAGATACCGCTCTCTTGTAGCTTCCCCTGATCTCTGCAGCACGCGATCGCTGATTGGTTGCACCGAGCCATCTTTCTACGTCTGCTTGCGCATCTTACCTGACCCAACCCCTTGCTGGTTCGTCCTTACGCGTAATCGTCGACTGAGGCCGATCCCATCGCACCCCTATCAGGCTCCGGAATCATCTTCTTTTGTGGTAGTGAATTGGGGGATCTATGTAATCGGTGGAATCATAAACGGCAATCCCACTTCCGATGTCTTGTTCCTCAACTGTTTTTCTCAGACATGGCACCGCGTTCCGTCCATGAAGATGGCTCGTGCTTCCGCATCGGCAAGCTTTGTAGACGGGAAGATCTATGTTTTTGGAGGGTGTCGAGAGGACGCTGATTCCTCAAACTGGGCGGAGGTATTCGATCCAATTTACCAAACTTGGGGTAAATTTAATACGCCGAAGATGGCCCATAATATCAACCAAAGTGTAGTGATAGAGGAGAAGAAGGTTTATGCCGTGGATGAGGATGATGAAAGCTTTAACTTCTTGCCAAGTGAAGGTAGATTATGGAAAACAGGAAAAAAAGATTCAAAGCTAGGAAGTAGAAACGATTGGTGTGTCATTGGGAAATTGTTATACTGTCGTGGTGGTACTCGCGGTAGAATACTATGGTGTCAACCAGATGAGTTGGATTGGAAGGAGGTAAAAGGTTTGGAAGAGCTACAGTTGTATCTCTCTGGCACGAGATACATCTTGAGACGTACCTCGGATAAACGGCCATCAAAGACCCAAGTCAAATATGATATTAGCAAACTCTGTAGTAACTCTGCTGGGAACATTGTCATCTTCTGGAACGCACATATTGGAGATTCTGAGAGTATGGAGCTTTGGTCTGCCGAGATTTCAATGGAGAGGCGTGAGGGAGGTGAGATTTGGGGGAAGATTGAGTGGTCCAATGCTGTCTTCAAACTTGATCCTCTCTCAAACTCATATAGCGTTAAGGTCTTATTTTCTGCATCTGTCCGTCTGTGATGTTCTAATAACATATATAATAAGTAGGTTCATTTACATACACTCTGGAATCAATACATAAGGATAAAGCCAAAAGAAAATCAAATGATCGTTGTAAAGTAAATAGTGAGTGATTCACGAAACAAAAGTTTTGCTTGCTTCCACATAGTCTCCATAGACGTCTTCTTCTTTGCTTTCTAAGCTCTGCATCCTGTAATACTTGTAGTAGATATACTGCAGTATTATCTGTTTTAGTTTTTTGAATTAAGGTAGCAAAATAAAACCTAACGAGAATGTGATAATTCAGTTTTCATTTTGAGATTGTGTAAACAGGTAGAAAGGATACGAATAGATCGAGTACGACGCAGACAATAGCATCAAGCAACCAAGGAAGGTTTGGTTTGATGTTGTCCCATTCAGTTGTTCGGACAAGAATACTACCAACATATGTTGCATTGGCTACTAGCGCGAATATGAACATCAGTGGATTCAAACCCTGCGCGCCAATTATCAAAAGATATTGTTAATTAGATGGCATACTACAATAACAATTAGTTATTGGTTGACTTGTAGTTTTAGTTTTTTACCTCGACGCTTCCTCTTTTGATCTAGTTGTAGAGACATCGTCAAAATCAGATTAGTCCCTCGATATCATAAACAACAAGCAAAGAAATAAAAAAAAAGAGGAATCAAGATTCGCTAAAAATGGCTTACGTTGAGCCAAATCTGAGGGATGCGACCGCCCATGTAAATGGCAGCCATTAGCCATCCCAACCATTGCCCCAACGCGCTATGCTCTACTCTTCTCTCCTGCACACAGACAACAATGTTTTGAAATCATTTTCTCGCATTTCACTCATACATTAAAAACAACAAAATGCTATATGTATCACACATTTAGAAGCCGTCTGTTTGAAGCATGCCAGTACTTTTCCGCTAAGCTCTTTGCCTGAAGCGGAAGACTAGCTGATGCAGCCAAAAACGTTCCAAAACCTGCCTGAGAAAAAGAAGTCCGAAATGGTTCAATATTTGTTGTTCAAGCTTGAAGTGATTTTTAGTTGGCTAAGTTAGAAAGAAATCACAAACCGGTCTAGGTATTGGTCTTGGTTGGGTAATGGTTTTAGCCGTTATGTCAGGACACGTCGACATTGTATCATCTTCGTCCGATGACGAACCATTGTCTATTGCCAGAGCCGAAGGGCCACTCTTAGCCACTCGAAAATACGATGTTCTTAAGGGAGGTGTGCCACTTCCGGCCAACGATCTAGCCGACCTGTACAAATAGTCGCCCGCAAAACCACTTGTCATAATTGAATATACAGAGCAGAGATATAAAAAAATTGAGAAAGCTAAAGTCTAGGTTCGAGATTTTATCCTCTGTTTCTTCTGAATCTTGTGAAAACGACAAGATAAAACAGAGTAGGCAGGGGAGCGAGCATAATATAATAAAATAATATGAAACTTTCTTTTTTGTCAAATATTTAAAATTATATGAAGCTTTTGTCACAAACTTTAACTTATTCGTAGTCAAATTAAAATAAATTAAATATGATTATGTTTAATAAAACGTACGTGTAATAGAACTCTCTCCGAGGAGAATCTTTGTAAGATCCTCCTGGGATGGAAATAGCAGATCCCATCGTCTTTGGTGGTTTCAATGGTTTCTTCTCTTCATCTTCCTCATCCTTAACAAATTAAATTTCACACCTCTCATTATGATAATCAACACCTAATAATGTAATCAACACTTAATTTTATAATTAGCAACACTATTACCTTTGGACAAATCTTGGTACGTCCATGTCTACAAAGTTTGTAGATGTAATCGTAGTAAATAGTTTGGATCACCAATACCACAGTGCTAACTGTGTAAAGCTATAACGAAAGAGTTAAAAAAAAAAACAAAGTTAAGGGGCTGAATTGTAAATAGCATAAAATTAAGCGGTCGAATCACGATAAACAAATCTGAAAAATAGACGCTTATTTTAATGAAAACGACACGTAGGCTTTGTGGCGACATATGTTTATTTATGCGGCGAGAAGACGGCGATGTTACCAAGGCTGTGTAGAACTGAGTCGGCAACTACAATTCAAAATAAGACAAACAAATGAGAAAACAATAATTATGTACTATAGTTTAAATGTTTGTGTAACTTACAGTAGCTGGTTCAAGAAGACAACCGACGAGATTGAAGATATCACTGCACCGATTGATAAAATTCAAATAAATAACGTTATAGAGAGATAGTTTATTATAATAAGAAGAACTTGAGTTGAGTGTACGGACCCGGCGACCCAAGCGAGGAGGAAGGAGAGAGAGACACCGTGACTTGACTTTGTACGGAAGTTAGTGATGATCTGAGGAATCTCTGCGACACCCCAACAGAGGAGGCTAGCAATTCCAAGTGCGAATGAAACGTCATCGTTTAGGTTACATAGACAGTCGTCGAAGTATCTCTCTACCCATCTCACGCATGTCTTCTTCTCCTTCAAGCAGTAACCTAAAGACACCATCTCTCTTTCTCTGTTTAGGTCTTTCTCTCTATGTATATATGTGTGTGTGTGTGTCTCCTCTCTCGGAGGATCTTGATTATTTTATAGGATTATGGGTGAGGAAAATGACAAATCATAAGGAGATAGGAGAGAGATATATCTGTAAATACATGTATTCATATACTTGGGACCATTTATTTTACTTGGTATATTAGCCACCAAATTAATCTAAGCTCGTTACGTTTTACTTTATTAAAATGTTATCGAATCATGACACTATTAATCTTTTATATTATCATCCTTTGATTGCTTTACTAGTGGATTAAGAAGCATTAGAAAGATCATAATGTGAAGGGCACATAAAAACAAGAGATTTCAAAAATTAAAGTTGGAGGGTGAAAAAACGGTTCGATGTATGATTAATAAGCATATTCTCTTTTATCTTTTGATGCTCTGCTGGATCTCAAATGTTCAGCCTTTTTAGTACGGTTTATTAGGTATATTCTTTTCACGATTCTCTAAGCCCTAATTAGAAATTGTCATCTGATAAATAAACATATATATGAAAGTTTTCGTCGTCATACATATATGTTTTTTTTTAATCTTCTTTTCTAATTCAGTGGTCGAAAATGTACGCATTAGTTCGGTTGAAAAACTCAAATTGAGTTAAACCAAATCTAATCCGGTTTGGTTATGTTTTATCTATTACTAGTACTGATTATTCAAAACAAAGTGTACGATAATTAATTGGACTAAACTCCATGATGCTGACATTGTAACACATACCTGCTGTAAATTTTGCACAAATTTATTAATTAAGCAAGTTGCAGTTTGTAGTCTATTTACTACTGTATTAAAACTTTAATTTAGATATTTTCATATTTCCCCCCTTATTGACTTATTCACAAAGCAAATGTTAAATCAAAACAATTACTACATGCCTATTGGTAAATGAGTTTGGAAATGTCCGACAAGGTTGTAAATTTGTAATTTTGTGTGGCGTAGGCATATTCGTGCGATTGGCTGTCCCAAAACAACGGTCCACATTTTTTACTGAACCAGAAAAAAAAAAAGATTATTAAAAAAAAATTAAAGGTGCCAAATAAACTGCGTGGTGGCATCATGTTACGATGATGATGACATCTTTCACGAACCGACTTTCGAATACACTAAAAACCAAAAAAAAAAAAAATTACAACCATTGAAAGTCTAAATTAATTAGACTAATATCATCTAGACATAGTTTAGCTCAAACGGTTGAGAAGCGACTATCAAATCTAAATGAAAGTCTTGGCCGACAAAAGAAAATTAAAAAATTTAAAGGAAAGTTGGAAAGAAATTTCCATGTTTATAAGAACTAGAAGAAATTTACATTATAAGAAAGTCAGTTGAATAATTTCAAGATTAGCAAGTGGATTAATAAAAGTCTCTGGTTCATGGATTTTAACACTTACAAAGTTTTTGCCGTCAAAAAAAGAAGTAACACTAACAAAGTTTAATACGTTGCCACGTTACGTCCTTTTTCTCCTCGACAAGAAATTGTGAGCGATCAATTCATTCGCAATCATTCTAAATGACGAGTAAGACCAACCATTGATTCTGTTAACATCATACGATATAATGTTAACAATAATATTTAGAAAATTTGAATTCTAGACAGCGATTTTTAAAATATATATCATGCCAAAGAAATATTTCCACTAAAACGTGTTCAGTTTAATCGATACGTAAAAAATGTAAAGAATCCATTTGGTCTCCAACATGAGTATCCTTAGATTTTTTAAGAAATCATTTGCACTTCAGATGAATAAACTTTTGATTTGGTAATATAGTAAAAACATTAGCTTTAATAAAATTTGTTGAAACATAAACGCTTGATAGAGAAATGTTTAGCAAAAAAGAGAGAAAAAGAATAAAACGGCGACGATGCGCCGCGACAAGTTGGAGGAGGAAGTGGGAAACACGTGTGATCATATCATCCTATCTCTTATGTCTATCCTCATCATATACACATCTTCACATTATTTTTGTATCTCTTTTATCATTTGTTGATAATGTCTAATATTTATATTTGGAAATTAATGATTGAGAACGGACGAGAACATTTTCGATTTTTATCCTTTAGAACACCTCAATCTGTTCGAAGTTCTATAAAAAAAAAACGTAACTCTTTAAAAACCGTATTTTTAGGATATAGTTTGAACTAAGAAGTTTTTATCAACAAAGATCATTTACAAACGATATAGAATGATAGAGAATGGCATATAGTTTCTTTTCACAAAGTTATCTGTATTTTAAATTAACAGATGGCAAGCATGCATACTATAATAATCTAGTTAGACAGGTCAATATGAGGATATTTCTACATTCTACTTATTATTTGACCTTCGTCCTCTCAGCGAATAGAAGAGCCATAATATGCAGAATTATGTATACATATTTATTGTGGATATACAAGTCTATCCATTTTCTTTTTCTTCCATACTTTATCCATTGGTCCTGATAAAGTCAAACTAGTGATTGTAGAAATTTAGATTTTGAAAACATAATATTTGCTATCTAAGAAATAACAAGCAAAAAAAGAAAAAAAAAAACCATGCCAAGAATCTTTGATCTTGCCTCTCGTCTCTTCTTCAATTATACTTAAAAGTGGAAACTTTATGACTCTTAAATGTGTGTATTTTGTAACCTATACATTTTTTTTTCTTTTTTTTTTCTCAGTCTATACTCTAAAAACTATAACAAAGCTTTTTTTTTCTCCTTTTATAGTTTGAATTCCTTTTTAAGGAAATGTACCGGTCAAGCGAATATGGTCGAGGGTTCGCCTCAGACCATGCTTAAGAACTGCTTGGTTACCTTGCCTGAACCCATCCCCATATGCCGATGAAGAATCCGACTCGATTTGATGCTTGAAAAACTCACCAAGTTTCTTCTCAAAATCAGACCTCTCACCTTTCTTGGACGATGCTGACACCACAGCCGATGATGATGATGAAGAAGAAGATGCGATATCTACTAATGTAGAGCCAGCATAAGTCTCAGATTCCAACCACATGTGAGCTAAAACCTGACAGATTCCTTCTTCCACTTCTGGTCTAAGATTTGGATACCCTAAACATACATATACAGAGCAACAAAACATTAAAGACCAATTTCAAGATACAATAATCTGTCCCTTTTCGATATTTCCCTAGAACAATTGCTCAACATAGTGAGAAGGGAGTGTTCATCAGATTACCATTTAGTCGAAGCCACGCATGCATCATCTCATGAGCAAGGATTGACCCAGTTAACAAACTGTACAAGTGTATTACGAATATTTTAGATATCTCATAAAGATAAAATTTCGGGTTAGGAGTGTGTTGAGAAGTGTTTCTTTTTTACCGAGGAAGTCCATATAAAATGAGAATCGCAGTGACTTCACAACGGCGTATCAGCCTGCAAGGCTCTGTGATCATGTCTATTAACTTGTAGCCTGCCCCAATTCTTGGTCTCCTTAACACCTACATCAAGATCTTTCTGATTTAAACGGAATTTGTGGTGGATAGCAATTAAACACGATTTTATAAAAGTGGAAGAGTGAATACCGTGGTGACAGTTTGTTCTTCAGACAAACAAAGTCCTCTAGTTTCAGGTAAATGATGATGTCCCTGCAGCAAAATAAGAAAGAAGTAGGTTGAAACAAATGAGCGAGAGAAAAAAAGAGAGAGTATCAACATAGTATCAATAAGTAAGGAGTTTACGTGTTTCTCTCCTTCCATAGCTTCGTTTAGAGCTGATCTCTCCACCAAGAGCATAGGAATTTGCTGTTCCACTTTCATATGTAAGCCTTCGTAAAATTCACGTATCTCAAGATACAATGGTTGGCATTCATGAGTGTCCATAATGGCTGAGTCGAGACATTCAAGACACAGTTTTCGACCATCATCAAGGATGAGATATTTTGTATCTTTCGGCTGAAACCATGAGCAAAAAACAGAACAACATCAGATACTCAAATTTGTTTTCTTATTAGTAGAAATAATATATCGAACAACTGACCTCCATTCGCTCACAACTGCAGCACCGAGGAGTTCCATCACGCTCATGTGAAGGACAATACTTTTGCATCCAAAAGGGATGTGCCCTATACTCAATAAGACCAGCTGGATTTGTCGGAATCTAGAGGAGTTAAATTACGCATACACATGAAGCTTAGTACAACCTGGGAACAAATTGTGGGTAAAATATAGAGATCAACAGAAGTTGGAAACACTCACAAAGTTATGGCAAACATCACATTTAGGATGATGCTGCTCCTTGTAACATAATTTGTGATAAGGCCGATTTCCCGACATTGAGAACTGTAAAACAAAGCTTTAACAGTTAAGCTTCACTTCATTCAAGAACAATGGAATAATACTTACAAAAATGTATTGAGACCTCATAATCTATGATGGGCTTATCACATGCATGGCAACAGAAACATTCAGGATGCCAAACGCCACCCATGCAACTCAGAAACCTTCCATGTCCAATCTCAGCTTGGCAACCGACGCATATCCTCCAAGAAAATAAACAAAGAAACAAAAATTGACTCATTGCAGCAAATGTGATCATGAATCATATCACTATCTAGAGGATGATAGTGGCTGAAAATCTAAGAAATGGATATTAATGTACTTTTGAACCATTCACCTGTGACTAGATGGAATGAGGAAGGGATATGGTTGAAGTATATTTCCTGGATCATATCGAGGAGGAGATCCTACATTCATACTTTCTTGAATGGCCTTGGCGAGTTGCTCATCTTCCTCCAACTGGGCTTTAGAACGCCTCATTTCTTCCTCTTCTAATCGAGCTTTTGCAAGCTGTTTCTCTATTTCTTCTAGTTGAGCTTCAGCTCTCCTTTTCTCTTCTTCCTCGATTTGAGCTTGAGCTACCCGTCTTTCCTCTTCTTCTGCTGCCTCAAGCTGAGCTCTCATGTATTCTTCATCGTCATCCTCATCATCATCATCATCTTCTTCGGTTTCAGATTTGTACTCTACAGAATATGAGGTTAAGAAAACAAGCTTAGCAAATTACAGTTTCACACACAACTTTCTTTCCTTCTCTTTGTGTTGTTTGTCTCTATGCATTACCAAGTACCAACAGCGAATTAAACAACCTTACCGATTACTTTCTTTCCTTTGTCATCTTGTGGAATTACATGTTCTTGTTCAGAAAGAGAGAGTGCAATAGCACATTCAATCTCTTCTTTGTCAAAATCAGATCCTTCCTGAATCAGAAATTCAAGAAAACCTTTTATCTTCAATTCAAAATGAACCAATAACATTTAAAAAAAAACAACATCCACTTACCGCAGAATAACGAGGACCTTCCAAGTTTCTATCCTCTCTATATCTTCCATTACATTGTCCATCCGAAAACTTATGGCTAGAACCTTTAAGGATTTTAGTTAGCCACCCCATTGGCAACAACAATCCCTTACCTGCAAAGAGAAACAGTGTTTTAAGGAAGACAAGAAGAAACTGCATGACTTTTGTTTTATTTTTCTTTAATCAAGGATTAAGACATAATTGGTAACAAAGAATCAAACTGAGATAAATGATCCAACAAAGAAAGTTAAATAATAATATGCCAAGGCAAAACAGCAATTGAAGAAAGGTATTATAGAGGGATTCATTGAATCAAATATGCCAAATCATAAATTAAAAATAAGGAACCAAAAGTAGGAGCTTATTACAAAGAATCTCAAGACTCCAAATTCTAATAAGCTTGGTTCTCATCCTAATCATCCTCAAAACAATCAACCTTAATATCTACATTCATCTTTCTAAATACCCAGAAGAAGAAAAAATAGAATCTTTATGAACAGAGTAAAGAGAAAATCGCAAATTACCTGAAAGAGATGACAATGAAATTAGCAAAACTAGATGACCCTTTGTATCAAAAAAGGAAACCCAAAAAACATGATTCTTCAACTTCTCTCGATCACCCTAAAAATCAGGACTTTCTTAAGAATTGACAGCAAAAACAGAGGAGAATTAGAGAGAGAGAAAGTGAAAGGGGACACTTGAATTGGAAGCAAAAACCTTTAGCTTTGAAGACCCGTGACTGTTAATTATCTTAAAAAGCGTGAAGAAAGCTTAATAGGATAGAGAGAGAGAGAGAGAAAGATGAGTAGTAGAGAATAAATCTACCATTAGAACTCAACTTAAAGGTAACAACTTTATGGAGAAGATGATGGAACATTGTTACAAATTACGTTTTTTGGTTGGGAAGGTCAAGCAAGTGGGCACTTGTTTACAAAAATTAAAAAAAAAAAACTAATCACATTATTTTGCGGAAGAAAACAATAAATCAAATGTTTGAAAAATTAAGAGAGAAGAGAAAAAAAAGAGTTGATGTTTACTAGTGTTACACACACACAATCTTTGACTCTCTAATTTACTTTCCTCTTTCATTAGCCGTTTTTCAACGCTCCAAGTTGATTTTGCTCATGGCTTTTTTTACTCTTCACAATAAATATCTTTTTAATTTTATTTTATTTTAATACAAAAGTATCAATTTTAGTGTAATATTTGAATTCAAATTATCTAAGTTTTTTCTATTTAAAAATAATAAAAATTCTAATATTAATTTATTGTTCAAGAATATAAAAAAATCAACTACTTACATAAGCCTGTTCGAAATCCCGGATCTAAAAAACAGATTTATACGAAAATACAAACCGAAAATTATAAGAGGAGAAAAAAAATTATCAACTTGAAAATTGTAAGTTGGTAAGGTTATCTATTTAGCCCAACCTAATGCACTATTAGTTACATACGAGTACGACCAAATGAATTGGAAAAATATAGACAATAATATTATATAGATAATTTCAGCTGCATGATAGATGACCCATTGCTAATCACAATTGTACACTGCAGTTTCCTATATTATTATTTTATTTTTTATTTTGTGGTTGAGATTTAATTTTGTTAGAAGGGTCAAGAGAATTCGGTAGGTTCAATCAAAAATCATGTGTGAAAAAAACGTGTATATCAATGTAATTAGCCAATCAATAAGTTGTTTAGGTGCCCAAAATTACTATTCCACCGCAGTTTTAAATTTTTAATCAAAAATAGGTGCTTAGCAAGAGGATTCAACTACTCCAGGATTGGTTAAAAAGATTTTATTTTGTTCTGTTAATTTTTTTCTGATTGTTTAATTTTAGTAGTAGTTGAACCAAGTGACGTTCTTTAAATTGTGATCCCACTCACTTCTTACGTAAGCAATGAATAAAAGTACTGCAACAGACAAACTTATTTGTTATATATTGGTCATCAAAGTTATCAATTAGCTTTCCAAAAAAATTCACTTTATTCACATCTATAAATCGTTGACATTTATATACTGATGATGCAACAACTAAGATAGTTTGTATCAGTGGCCATATTGTAATTTTGATGTCACTTACCATGCAACGATTTTTTTTTTAACCAGGCTTCTTAAGGCCCATATGGTAAAATTGGGCCGACGAATCAAACCCATTATTGTAGAAAATAATTTTTGAGTTATGAAATCAGTTACAGATTATTGTGGGCTGGAATTTTTTTTGTATGATGAGAGAGACTTTAACAATTTTTGACGTTATATATAAATATCTTTAATATTGAGCTACAAACAATGTTCATTTTAAAAAATTGCGCCTTTGAATCAAATAGAAAACAGAGAAATCATGTTGTTAGAAAACAAAACAGAGAAGCATTCTTAGTTTAGAAAAAAAATGATGTATAGAGAAATATCATTTTTCATATTATAATTACTCCCTTTACAAGAAAAATTATTATTACTCCTCTCATCGACCATATACTTATCATTTTCCTAAATTAATTTTAAGCATTTAAAAAAAAAAAAAGAGTAAAAAAGATTTTGAAGCTTGGTGATGAAACACAGGCTGTCACGCTTGTTGATCAAAACACGTGGCACATTGAGACACGTTGATCCCAGCATGGACCACAAATCTCACGTGGCCATGGCCATCCCTTGCCGGTTTTCCAGGTGGACCAATCAAATTAATATGTCTTTTGCGTTCCTTAGGACCATTTTATATGTGATATTGTCAAGACTGAAGCCTTTAGTGTTTAGTCATTTATATATTACACGTTTTCATTTTGAAAAAAAATATTGATAAAGAAAAATAAATCAATCATATTTTAGTTGTAGATTTATAGATTACAACGACGGTGTGACTGCTTCGCTTTTTTCTATAGTTTAGTTAGAAAATTAAACCTTCACTACCAATAAAACATTTCATCATAATTGAATTGCAAAGTATAGATATATCCGTAACATTTACACCAAAAAAAAAAAAGTATAGATATGTCCTAAACATGTTTATGAAGAAAATGTTACTCCGTGTTCAGCTATCCGATTTATTCAATTTATATAAATATTAGAGATATAACCCTACGGTCCCTACATAAAGAACTAAATTAAGTGTTTAGTATAATATTTTCCTATGTATTTTTATATATACAAAAACATTATAACAAAATGGTCAAGATATCCAAAAAGCTATAACAAATGGTCCTAGCTAATTACTGGTGTTATATGAATCTAGACAATGAAATAAATGATATGAATCGTAGAGGTTGTTGACTTGTATTTGTATTAAGGTTTAAATTATACTCTTTAGATGCAAAAATAAAAATAAAAATTAATTGGATAGATAATATTGAAAATGTGGTGACAGACAGTAGACCATGAGAATGTTGGTCCCTTGGACCTTCGCACATAAAAACATTTTGCTTCTTTTGTTTTTCTTCATTTGATGCCATTTTTTGCTTTATTTAACCAGCTACAAAGGTAACTTCTAATATGGGTTCATATATATTATATATAGTTGATACTATTTACCTATATATTGTTAAAACTGGGAGATTGATTCGTTGAGTCAACTTTGAGCTTAAACCTTTAAAGATAAAGCGCTGCTATTCTTGAATATGTGATTTCAGATCTCATACGAATCATCAATTTTAGTTAATTTCGTTTGATATAATAGTTTATTCTATCTGGACAAGTCAATGGTCATTTTCTATACAGTCTTACATAGTTACAGTTACATGTACTACTGAGTCATAGTCCTGTGTGGCACATCAATTAACTCGCTGAGATGTTGGGATTCTTTTATATATAATCAGAATATAAAGACAAAAAAATCATCTTCAATCATTTGCCCTATTTTTTACCCCATTAATTACTAACGCGTGAGGATTTGGATATACGAGTACTTGTGGTTGCTCGCGGAGAAAATATGATCGGTCAGAAGTTAACATCATTATAGGTGAGGATTTCCCAAACTTAAATTGAATTAATGAGTGCATAATTGTAGTCGATTTCTTTTAAGACTCAACGTTTGGTCACTATATATGTATTTCGTTTGATTTCATTTTACATTATTAACAAGTGACCTAATTTTTTAGCAAAAATAAAAACAGTGACCTTAATTCAGATTCATTGTGATCTTCAGGGTGATATCTACACAGAAGTTTTCGCAAATACTTCATGGGAAGTAACGTTATTCGAACCTTGAGAAGACAAATACACTGACATATAGTAGTGGACAAATGAAGAGAAACATGTCGTTGTGTCTAGATTTTGACAGTTTTCATGCACACGCATAGGTTACATATGTGTGTGTATGTTTGTGTTGAAAACACAAATAATTCCGCAATTCTCAAAGGCAGACCTTAAAAGAGTAGTGAGCTTGTTGGTCACACCATCAAACAAAAACAATGTAGTATTAGGTTGTAAAATAACAGTGGTTAAAGAACGAAAAAAAAAACAGAGTAAAAGAGTTGAAAACTATTACTCATAAAATCTAAAAGAGAAGATAAGAAAAATTACATAAAAAAATAAAGACTAAAGGAACAATTTGATTGACACCAAAAGGACAAGAAATGGAATAAGAAGGGACCATCACTGCCATTTTCACAACTCCCTTTGTGGTCTCACTCTCCCATTACTCATGACAAACAATCAAATTTATTTGTTTCTTTCTCATCAACTTTATTCTTTATATATATATTAAAACTTCATAACAAATATAGAGTTAAGAATGAACAAAACTTTCATCTAGTTTCCTCTTTTTATCCTGTCCGTTCCCAATCATGACATGATTTTAATTACCAATTTAAAACGAAACATGACCAACAAGAACAGAGCAACTTATTATTTTATTTATGCTAATTTTCGTTTTCATGCTAATTTAAAATGCTTGACATTCGTCTAAATCGGAGCAACGCAACTGAAAAATAAGAGTAAGTAAGGCTAATACTGCTAGTTTTCGATTTTAGAGCTAGTCTGGCTCTTGTCTAAAATTTAATTAAAAAATTTTGTCAGTGATTTAACGTTCTGTTTTAAAAAATTCTCGTGGATAGCAGTACGAAGACGGACGTTAATGCTAACGGTATTTATTGGCTGAATGAAAAAGTTTTTCATTTTATTATCTTAAAAAGAATCAGTAAAAAAAAAGAATCAGTAAAAAAAACATGTAATTCCGGCAACTTTTAAAAACTCATGAGGCATAATGGTGTGCAGAATTTCATACGACGACGATTGATGGATATGAAACCATTTGGTATATTGACAAGACAATAGATCAAACCTACGTGGCTATGAGCCTATATTATGAGTCCTTGTAATAGCTTTTTGGCTAATCAAAGCTTTTTCTCTCCTTTAAACAAAGTGGTGACTTTTATCTTCTAACAATTTGCAATTGCACCACATATAAATCAAATCAAACCTAACTCTAATTTTATCGAATCTGGATGATTACTCATATTTTTTCATATATCACGTATACTTAAATTAGAGACCAAACCCGATGAAAGTTTTTTTTCTATAATAAATGAAATTTTGATATTTTTGTCTGAAAACAGAATCTGGAAAATAACGTTGTTATAGTCAGGTACAATATGAAACTGAAACTATCACGACAGATATAACAGACCATTGCAAAATATAATAATTTGTATATAACCAGATTTATTACCACGAGTTTGTATCTAATCATATATACAAAGATTGCATACATTCCACGAGCTTTCCAAAATACTCTTTTCAGCTCATAATAAACACACTACATAGATAAGTCTTTGGTTTTAAGATGCGAAAACAAAAATCAATCAAAAATATTCGATACTATGATATCATGAGTGTTTATGAGGTCGAGAAACGAGAAACGTGTCAAAATAAAATGGAGAAACTAATAAATATGTTGAAGGTTAGACAATTGACACCATTGAAGATATTATAAAGCAGAGCAAAAAGGATCCATTACAAGTTGGCTTTGGTGGGTAAAGAGTATAAATGCCTAAAGAAGAAGATCCTCTCCACACGTACGAAAAAAAGGAAGGTTCGGCACGTAACGGATGGTTGTGCATACGTGTGAAGGGAGGGTGGGATTCACGTGAGAGATTCACCCGATCAAACATTTATATTCTCAAGAAATCGAACCATTTCTATTTCACAAAGGAAAATAGAAAACGAGAAAAATATCTGTAGGAAGGTAGAAGGTTGAGCTGTCAATTGTCATTCCAGGTTTTGTAGTTCACATTTTTAATAAAACCATTAAACGTATTTTTATGAAATTTAATGTTATTATATAAGTGGAGTTACACTTTTGCTTTCGACATTTCCATTAATTATTTATCCAATTATGGACTTATACCTACGGTGCGATATCTAATATTTTCTCTAACCGTTTGTGGGATCTGCACCAAAACTCGAATTTGGGAATGCTATTTTTTTAGTAAGACATACGTGATACGAAATATGTCGCCACTTTAAGAAAGAAATTTCGATATCTATATATTAACTATGGAATTAATATTAGAGACTACTAAGAGCCATCATACCAAAAAAAGAAGCTCAAGTACTCGATCTCAAAGCTGTTGAACCAAAAAACGGTTATGTGTCGATTTCATCGGTTTTCTAGTTATCCCCACACACACAAACCTAATTAACATTCTGAGCACTTGACTTCTGAACCTTCCTCCTACCTTTCACACGTTCCAAACCACAAGTCCCGCTCGTGCGAACTCTCATCTTTTATTGTTTATTTGATACACCAAACCAAAAATGCACACCGAATTTCTTTACATTGTCCTCCAAACCATTCATAGTTACATCGTACTCGATCGAGCCTCAAGTAGTAAAATTTAATTTATGCTTACAAGATCGATGGTCGGAAACAAATAGTTTTGATATATATATATATGTATGTTCTAGCCTTTGCATTTTTTTTGCATCGGTATTATTAATTCGGCCAGGCTAATTTTTCAAAATACGTCTTACATTTTGTTGAACATTGTATTAGTATATGTACGTTGGATATTATGTGATCACTATACAGTGATTATACGTAACTAATTTGTCATTTCATTGAAAAGTCGATTGTAAGTGATTAATTAGCTTGTGGTTAGAACTTAAAATCAGTTGATTATATGACACTCATTTGATGTGGTGAAGTGATTACGACAGACGAGATGACTTTTAGAGAGTCATATTCTCGTTAGAAGGAAAGTAAATTTAATTTTGATATAGACGTAAAAAATTTTTAACAAACAGAAATATTTACTATTTCATTATGACTGTTTTGCGAAGAAATTTTATGGTATTCCAAGTAAAGATCATAGAGTTATATCATAAGCTACATTTAAAATAAATTACTTTAAATTATGCTGATTGATACTAAGGTCTAAGTCCTATCACCTATGTATAAAATATGAGGACTGGGGGAACTACGCACCAACAGACCAGTTACGTGTATATGGACTTAATTGACCCTATCTGCGAGTTAGTTCAGTGTTATCAGAAAATGACAGATGAGGGTATTATGGGGAATATAATTATGGCAGTATTTTTTTTTTTTTTTTGGTCACGATAGTATTACTAATATTTATGGTGGTGGTTCGTATCATTGAGATATGACCTTGTACTCACTTTTTTTTTTTTAATTAGGGAAATATAATTATGACCGACATTTACGTGAAAAAAGACAGCATCTTAAAATTCCTATCCTACTAATCCTATTTTACTATAAAAATATTTCATTGAAACCATAGTTAAAAAGAAGAAAAATCACCGGATTTTGTTTTTGCACGAACAGCTTCTTTTTTTTTTTTAATAAAGAAGATTGGTGGGCTAAAAAGGGTGGCGAAGAAGAAAGACCTCTCTCTCTCTCTTTCATATTTTTCTTTCATAATATATATTATATTATCTTTTATTATATTTGTGAATTCCTGAATAAACTCTTAGTAACAAAGAAAAGGAGAGTCCAGAAAAAGAAAGCGAGAGAGAGAGAGAGAAAACGATACCTAAGCTCAATTATCTTCTCTGCAACAAACTCCAAAGGTATTCTCTTCTTCTGCTCTCTCTTGCATACATACATATATATAGATACCTACATATCTCTCTATGGGGTTGTTCATCAGTTATAGATGATGTAAAAAAAACAGCGTAAGAGACCTAGTTGACTCTCTTTCTGAGTTATGTTTAAAATCCTTTGTCTGAATCATTACAGGATCCGAGAGAGAGAGAGAGAGAGCTCTGGAAAGATATGTATAAATATATCATGAAGAAGAAGATTGAAGTATTGATATGGGAATAGCTAAAACTTCTCCTACTACTACAACTCTCTTGAAGACTCTTCACAATAATTCTATGTCCCAAGATTATCATCATCATCATAATCAACACCAAGGAGGAATCTTCAACTTCTCTAATGGATTCGACCGATCAGATTCTCCCAATTTAACAACTCAGCAGAAGCAAGAGCATCAAAGGGTAGAGATGGACGAGGAACCCTCAGTGGCCGGAGGTAGGATTCCGGTCTACGAATCTGCCGGAATGTTATCCGAGATGTTTAATTTCCCCGGAAGCAGTGGTGGAGGAAGAGATCTCGACCATGGTCAATCTTTCCGGTCAAATAGGCAGTTGCTTGAGGAGCAACATCAGAATATTCCGGCCATGAATGCTACGGATTCAGCCACCGCCACCGCGGCCGCCATGCAGTTATTCTTGATGAATCCACCGCCACCGCAACAACCACCGTCTCCGTCATCCACCACCACCACAAGGAGCCATCACAATTCTTCAACTCTTCACATGTTACTTCCAAATCCATCCACCAACACAACTCACCATCAAGGCTACACTAATCATATGTCTATGCATCAGCTTCCACATCAGCATCACCAACAGATGACGTGGCAGTCATCTTCCTCCGATCATCATCACAACAACAGCCAAACCGAGATCGGGACCATCCACGTGGAAAACAGCGGAGGACAAGGTTTGTCCTTATCTCTCTCATCGTCTTTAGAGGCTGCAGCAAAAGCTGAAGAGTATAGAAACATTTACTACGGAGCCAATTCTTCTAACGCATCACCTCATCATCAATACAATCAATTCAAGACTCTTCTTGCTAATTCTTCTCAACATCACCATCAAGTATTAAACCAATTCCGATCATCTCCGGCGGCTTCTTCCTCTTCCATCGGAGCGGTCAATATCTTAAGAAACTCAAGATACACAACGGCCGCACAAGAGTTGTTGGAAGAGTTTTGTAGTGTTGGAAGAGGATTTTTGAAGAAGAACAAACTTGGGAACAGCTCAAACCCTAATACTAGCGGTGGCGATGGCGGTGGTGGCAGCTCTCCTCCGTCAGCCGGAGCAGTAAAGGATCATCCTCCTTTATCGGCGTCTGATCGGATTGAGCATCAAAGAAGGAAAGTGAAACTACTCACCATGCTTGAAGAGGTATGTTCATATTAATTCTCCTTTACTTTTCAATATTGATTTTGACCTTGTCTATAGTGATATTAATTCATACATTTTACGTAAAATTGTTTTCTTGACATTTAGATATGATTCATGAATTTATCCAAATGTTATGACAAAGAAACAAGAAACCTGATATGACTGAATTGGTCTTTTGTTTTCTCGATTAGCTATTTATTTTTGATTAGTTTGGTAGAGTTTGATTACGCAATCCTACCATCATTTATTTAAAATTAAAATTTAAAATTTGAATCATTTTGCTCGTGTGGCGGTCGCATTAGAAAGTATATTGAATATTTTGATGCTTAGCGTTTGGTGGAATCGATTAATCAAAGAAAAATGAATTAAATAATTACGATTAATTATGTAATTGGCGATTCCTTCTCCATATAAGCTACTCTCCTTACGTCCTAAAGATAACCCTTGACGTTACTTGTTTACCCATAATTGAATTATTCTATTTTTTAGTTGACTTGCATTTTTTTCTCACTAAAAATAAATATTTTATTTTGTGCTCGAGGATACGATAAAATGTTTTGTTGGTAGGATCACGAAAACATTAGTATATTCTCTGGTCCTTAATTTGTCTATAATATCTTATTTTCTTATTGGCTCGTTTGAATGTATTACTAATTACTCTCATTTGTGTATTTATTAGATGAAACTCGTACACAAGCATACGTCCCCGTGATAAAATCTCTACACCAATATTAATCACGTGAATATATAACACACACGAACATAAATTTAAAAGAAAAAAGCAAATATTGAATATTTATGGATTGTATAATGTATAGTTTTTTTTTCGTTGGCAGGTGGACCGACGGTACAACCATTACTGCGAGCAAATGCAGATGGTTGTGAATTCTTTCGACATAGTAATGGGCCACGGTGCGGCGTTACCGTACACCGCATTGGCTCAAAAAGCTATGTCAAGGCATTTTCGATGCCTTAAAGACGCTGTCGCGGCTCAGCTTAAGCAGAGTTGCGAACTTCTTGGGGACAAAGATGCAGCCGGGATATCTTCTTCCGGATTAACAAAAGGCGAAACTCCGCGGTTGCGTTTGTTAGAACAGAGTTTGCGTCAGCAACGTGCGTTTCATCAAATGGGTATGATGGAACAAGAAGCGTGGCGGCCACAACGCGGTTTGCCTGAACGCTCCGTTAATATACTTAGAGCTTGGCTCTTCGAGCATTTCCTTCACCCGTAAGTCATTTTTTTTCTTTCTCATTATTCATTATGAATAAAGAAATTGAATTTTGAAAAAAAGCTGAGAAAAAAGTACTTCTTTTCTCGTTATTTCACCACTACTTTCTTTAGTACTATGTCTCTAGAATTTTGCTATTTTATTGTTAACGAGAGTTAACGAAAAAAATGGAAATAAAGCAAAAGAGTAGTGTTTTTGTACTATTTTTCACCTCTCTGACAATTGCTTTAAGAGTAAAACAAAACAAAAAAGCTAAGTAAAAAAAACAAAAACTGGATCTATGATATGTAATCATCAGCTTTTCTTTTGTCTGTTAGATTCTCACGCCCTTGTTAAGAAAAAGTCTGTACTTTTTCTTGCGTCTACTTGATTGTATTGTATATAGTGAAAAGATAAAGAAAAGAAATTAGATTGAGTTTATTAGGGCAAAGATAGAGAGTGATGTCATTTTCTGGTCTCTTTCTCAGGTATCCAAGTGATGCAGATAAACACCTCTTGGCTCGACAGACTGGTTTATCCAGAAATCAGGTCAGTCTATATATATACATATAGCCATCAATACAATAAAGTATCTCCATGAATCAAATACATGTCTCTCTTTAACCAAGTTGTGTTAGCTGAGTATACTATTAATCAGTCAAGATTTGTGTTTAAACCCATGATTCTATGTTTATAAATAAACTCCTTAATAGTACAGATTTATAGAACTACATTAGTAATTTCTTACCTAAATCCATGTAGAATTTGATAATTTTCATAAACATAAGCTTGATATAACATCAAATTTTTCACCCTAGCCAAAATTATTTGACACTATGGACGAGTACATTAACTAGTAACTAGCCTGAGATGACTCTATTGCATGGTTTTTGTTTCTTTCCTTTGTTTGGTTTGATATGACAGAGGAACACCATGTGTTTTGCTTTCCACTCACTATTAGCTTTTCTTGGGATTCGTCTTTAAATTATTATAGCATATTTTTATATACACAAACATAGGAGAGAGGGAAAGAGATCGACATTAAAGACTCAAAAGGGTCCATTTTTCCTCAAGTACATCAAAGTTTGCAGCTTTCAATTATCCCGAAGAAACCCTCAATTTTTTGTATCCCTACATTTAATAACCAAATGACAAATAAACAAAAAGAGCCATCAATTTGTTTCGATATTATTATTATTATTCAATTGGCCGGTGAAAATTTTGACTTTTTTTTTTTATTCAGGTGTCAAATTGGTTCATAAATGCTAGGGTTCGTTTATGGAAACCCATGGTGGAAGAAATGTATCAACAAGAATCAAAAGAAAGAGAAAGAGAAAGAGAAAGAGAAGAGGAATTAGAAGAGAACGAAGAAGATCAAGAAACAAAAAACAGCAACAACGACAAGAGCACAAAATCCAACAACGATGAAAGCAACTTCACTGCCGCTCGGACCACTTCACAAACTCCAACGACAACCGCACCAGACGCAGCAGTAGCGACAGGCCACCGTCTAAGATCCGACATTAATGCTTACGAAAGCGACCCTTCATCAATTCTACTCCCTTCCTCTTATTCCAACGCCGCCGCTTCTGCCGCAGTTTCTGACGACTTGAATTCTCGTTACGGTGGCTCAGCCGCGTTTTCCGCCGTTGCCACGTGTCAACAAGGTGTTGGTGGGTTCGATGATGCTGACATGGATGGGGTTAATGTTATAAGGTTTGGGACAAACCCTACTACTGGTGACGTGTCACTCACGCTTGGTTTACGCCACGCTGGAAACATGCCTGACAAGGACGCTTCTTTTTGCGTTAGAGAGTTTGGGGGTTTTTAGTTTGCTTTTGTCACTCCATTTAATTAATTAATTAATTATAGTTTCCATTTTTACTTTTTTTTTGATTAAAATCTCTTAAAAGTCAAAAGAATACTTTAGTTTATCCCTCTTTTGTTATTGTTTTTCCTATCTCGTGAAGAGAAGAAAACGATACGTAAATCCCTTCTCAAATTAATGTTACATTGTACAACTTATTGTTTTCATATATCTGTATTCTTGGTCATTTAATTTCTCTAGATTTCCTTCATTGTTCAAAACCTTAACTCCAATTATTTTTTCTCATACTGTACTGTACATAAACAAATCCCAATTCGTTCGTAATTTTGAATTGACTATACGCTTAACCGAAATTTTGAATTGCTTAGACTATCTAGCTAGGTACAAAAGTCATGTAATCACTCAGCAAAAATGGATTCTCTTATGTTGCATGAATAATTTGAAGAATGAGTTATAAGTTATATATATATATATATATTTTATATAACTTATAACAAAAAAAAAAATAACTTATAACATTTCTATAATAGTTCTGTTATACTGGTTAGTTGTTTAGTAGTTCTCACTAAACAACTACTAATAACTCTAGTCGACCAAAGCACCATAACCTTGAGAAATGATGAGGACGATGGAAACTGATATAGTCAGAAATACCTGAGAATCAAATGTTGTTGCGACATCGTCAACATTTTTTTACTAAAAGCACTTCTCAAATAATATGTAGGAGGGTATGTATTATGAGTTCCCTTTCGTATATGAGCCCTACTAATTAACAAAATGATTCATAAAATCACTGAAATTTCTTGTCCATCTCTAGAATAAATAAATAAATATACATTTTATATAGATACTCTTACAGTCTTACTCCATGAATAGTTTCTAATATGTTTTATGCAATTAAAGAAGAACAAATGTATACCTTGTCTTGGCTGTATCCTGTATTTATGTTTTTTGTTCTTCTATAGCAGAAAGAAACGATCACTTTCAGAAAATTTCGATTTGCTTCATTGGTAGCTGCAGAATGAAACCCAAAAAAAAAATGGTGGTTGAATGATTGAAGAAGATAAATTAAAGTGGTGGTTTTGGAGTGTAGTTATTACAAACTTTTGAGGAAAGATTTAAACCAATCTGTTATTCTGCTATATATAAGTTCTCTGTACTACCTTTGAGTCTTCCTCTAAACAAAACCACTCTTGAGATTCTGCAGGTTCGAATGTTTTTGGATTAGCAGCACAACAAGTAAGCTTAGCTACTTAGCTGTAATACAAAAATCATTTTAGTTCCAAAGCTCCATGCATGCTTTATCTTAGGTTTGACCAGGAAACAAAAATTAATAATTTTGTTACAGGGAGATAAGATTCAAAGACAGAAAAATGCAGAGACAAAGTCACAAACGTTCGAAGAGGTTGCCATTTTCTTCTATCAAAATGTTTTAGCTTTTAGGGTTTAGGAAAAAAGATTGAGACTTCGTAGAAAAATGGGTTTTAGATTAAATAGGATATTTTCTTTTCCTGTGTATTGATTCTGATTAAATTTCTTATCAATTTTTTGTTCTTAAATGTGCTGATTGATTCTTTGGCTGCAGTTATCCAGGAAACAAAAGAGTTGAGGATGATCACATAAGTTGTTTATCTCTCAGTAATGGTTTTGTCAAACCGGAGAAGAAACTATCACCTATAATTGTGAAAGTCCAAAGCTCTCTTAAACAAGAGGTTGGATAGTTAAACTTCTCTCTGCAACCATTTTCAGATCACATGATTCACTCACTTTGGTCGTCCTTTTTGGTTATGCAGATTATAGAACTCGAGAAAAGATTACAGAGTCAGTTTGATGTTCGTAACGATTTAGAAAATGCGTTGGGTTATAGAGAAACTTCTCAAGACGACAATATCTTCACTCCCAAGGTACTTACTACTACTCAGTTCTTATGTGCAAAAAGTTGATTTTGGCTCTTTTTCGCTTTCGATGTGTCATTCCTAACACGTCTCTTTGAGATGATGGTTTTTATCAGTTATATCCGTTTTGATGATAACTTAATGTTGGATGTTATGCAGCCTGCAACAGAATTAATCAAGGAAACTGCGATACTCGAGTTAGAAGTTTCGAATTTGGAACAGTACCTTTTATCGCTATATCGAAAAGCTTTTGATCAACAAGCATCAGTATATGTATCTCCATCATCAAAAAAGCAGAGCATAATTTCACCAAAGAAACTCTTAGAAGTATATGTCTAGACCTCTCAAGAAGATATGATGAACTGCCTAAACATGAGGATCAAGGAATCGAATATCGGTGTTTCTCCTTCGACAACAGATTCAACGATCCAGATTCAACCGAGAGTGACATAGATTCTAGTGTTCGCCGATGCCAATCCTTGCTTAATCAACGGTCCACTTTCATCAGTAACAGACTTTCTCCACCAGAAGAGTCCATAAAGGAAGTATGTATGGTTTCTCTCTTTTGTAATGGCATTGTAGTTTACCAAGTTTTTAACTTTATTGTTTTGGTTACTTCACGAAGCAGTACATAAAGAACAGATCAATTATCGGTATTCGGATATCCGATCACATACCTATAATGACTCCAAACAAGTTATCAGAGGAGATGATCAAGTATGCGTCGACTATGTACATCAAACTTGCAGACACTCCGTTTCTTTCTTCGATAAGCAAGTTGTGGAGTCCAAGCTTCAGGAAATACTCTGTTTTTGATGACCTATTCGAATCAAGTGGACCATACAGCTCGATGATCAAAGTGTCACATATTAAAAGGAAAGGACATGATTTTGAGATGATGCTTCGACATTTCAGGTCAGCACCTAGTAAATAAGACACAGATTTTCTTTGTTTACTTTGTGTTCTGTTTATAGACATTGGTTTGCAATTTACACAGATTGCTTGTTAAACAATTAGAAGATGTTGATCAGAGCAAGTTGACACATCAAGAGAAACTTGCGTTTTGGATTAATGTACATAACTCACTTGTGATGCACGTAAGGGTTCTTCTTCTTTTTATGTTTCTAACTTGTGAATTTCTTTGAACTTAGACTGTTTTTGTGTTTCTGCCAGACATTTCTGGTTAATGGGATTCCGAAGAACAACGGGAAGAGATTCTTGCTACTCTCTAAGGTAACAAAAGAACGATTTTAAAAACCTAAACAAAACCTGAGAAAATGCTCCTGAATTTTCTGATTCAGTGCCTAAATTTTGCAGCCAGCTTACAACATAGGAGGTCGTGTGATGAGCATAGAAATGTTGCAAAATTCTATTCTTCTCAGCCGAATGCCTTGTCCCCAACAGGTCACTCACTACTTTTGTTACCATAATCCTATCAAATTTATCACAATGTGATCTGTTTTGTGAAGAAGCCTATAAAAAAACTCTCTCCCTGCTTACAGTGGCTGCGGTTGTTACTCACCTCAAAAAAGCTCAGAACCGGAGATGCATACCGCGAATACTCACTCGAGCATCCCAAGCCTTTGTTGTACTTTGCTCTCTGTTCCGGAAATTACTCTGATCCCCCGGTACTTCGTCTCATCCTCTCTACATATATCTATGCACCACTACACACAAATATACATTTATTAGACCCTTACTGGACTAATTCTACATCTTCCACGTCATAGATTCGAGTATATACGCCAGAGAGTATATATCTTGAGCTGGAAACCGCAAAAGAAGAGTACATCCGCACAACAATTGGGTTCAGAAATGACCATAAACTAATCTTACCAAAGATCACAGAGTCTTTCAGCAAAGACTTGGGTTTGAATCAAGTTGCATTGATGGAGATGATCCAAGAATGTCTCCCGGAACCCATGAGGAATACAATCAACAAACTCAATATGGGGAGATCCCGAAAGAGTATCATAGAATGGATCCCACACAATTTCGGTTTCCGGTATCTGATAGCTAAAGAACTCATCAAGTGAAGAAGTTTACCGGTATCTGCAGGAAAGTCTTGTTCAGGATTTTGATTAATAAATCTTACATGGCCAAGACGCGACCGAAGAAGAAGGTAGTACTATTCAGGATTTTGATATTGAGTCTATGAAGATTTAGATGGAATCAACCACGGAGAGTGTCTCACATGGCTGCACAAGCTTCTTCTTTAAAGATATTTGATTTGTTAGAAATACTGCACATGTAACTCCATTGCCTAGTCATATTTTAAATTGATGCTCCAAAAAGTAAATCTAAATTTTGTTTTTTTAAAAAACTATTTTGAAAAATCGGAATTAAAAACTTGAATGCTAGATCTACATAATAATAGGAAAAACAAGTTGAATGTTTGGAATCGCTAACGACATAATGCTGGATCCAAAATCCGGTTAGATTTCATATCATTATGTAAATTTAGTATCAATAAAAAAAAAATTAAAATACAAACACAAGAAAAAAAGTTTTTAAAAATCCGAAAAGAAAGAAAATCAAAAATTTTAAAACTATTTTAAAAATCCGAATAGAAAACTTGAATGCTAATTCTACATAATAATAAGAAAAATAAGTTGAAAAAAATTAAGAAGGGTTAGAAATTGACCTTTATTATGGGCTGAAACTTAGTTTTCCTTTTGTTGGGCTTTGTTGTGCCAAAAGGCTTTGATGACGTCATCAATCCAACCCACTTATCACTCTGCATCTTGAAAGCCACCCTTTAATCTCCACCGGAAACACAAGCCATCGTCGTCCTCAATCATCTGCTCCCTCTATCGCCATCTCCGTCGTCGCGGGATAGACGCTCCAATATCATGATTCCGAAGCCTGAAATCCACATCATCTTCAATCACGATCTTCTCTCGTTTGGTTGGTCGAAGAGCAACGGCAAAGAAACAAATCAAAACGTCGAACAATTTGGAGTCAAAGATGGATCAAACAACTCATGAAAAGAGAAAAGAGGTAAACGAAGTAGAAATTGAAGAATAGAATCGTAAGCGAATTGGGCATGAAATCGAAGAATAGAATCTATAACTCTCTCTCTCTCTCTCTCTGGGTTTGTGAACTGTGATGATACTAATAACGTTTGTGATGTATATATAGATTTTCTTGTAATCAAAGTTTCCTTTTTTTTGGAATTCAAAGTTTCCTTTTTTTACTCTTTTCAAAATTTCCTTTTTTCTGTGAGTCTTTTGTGTTGACTTTTCTCTTAACTGTTTTATGTTTGTTTCCTTTTTTGTTAATAGATTTAGGATATGGTTTGTGATGTAAATCATAAGATTCTGCGAGCTTGTTTAGATTTTTGGAAACAAAGTTTGAGCATTTTCATGACAACAAGTCTCTTTCTCTGTCTTTGCGTTGCTTGCTTTTAAGTTTTTTTTGGAAACAAGATTGCATAAACACTCACTGTCTGTGTCTGTTAACTCTTTTGATATATATATGTTTCTGTAAAGCTTTTACTCAATCCATAATTGTTATCATCTTCTAAATCTGCAGGAAACTCTCTTCATGATTTTGATAGATAAATCTTACATAGCCAAGATTCTCGAGCCAAAAGAAGATGAAGATAGTTCTGTTCAGGATTTAGATATTGAGTCTATCAAGGTTGTGATGGAATCAACCAAGGCACAGGCTCATGAGGCTGCACAAGCTTCTTCTTTATAGATACCTGATTTGTTAGAAGATGGTTAAGAGCGAGCTAAATCAGCTTCTTCTTTAAAGTTTAAAGATATCTGATGATTTGGCATTGGTTTTGAAAGAGGTGGCTATGGATTCTAGTTAACTGGAAGAGAGGCTTGTGGTCGCGGAAATAGAGCTCGAGGCTCCAAAGTTAGAGAGAGTCTCAGCAATGGAAGGAGAAACATGAGGAAGCGCAGACTCATGTGTGCCCCTTTGATTAACATTCTTCCTAGTGTCTTCTCTGTCACAAACGGTCTCAGCCTCATCCAAAATATCTTCTCATAGGCTAGCATCTTGTGTCTCAGAACAAGCCTTCTCTTTAATGTTGTCTATTACATCAAACGATCTCAAAGAACCTATTTTAGTAAACGAGCGTTTTTTTTATTTCTCCCAACAGTGTTAGAATAATGGCTGTTCTTGAATATTCCCTCACAACTCTGTTGCTCAACCTCTTTCGTTCCATTACGGTCATTATTAGCTAATTTCGATTTGATACAATTCGTCACTCAATTTGATCTCATTGGATGTGAAAGGGTTTATTTTGAGATGAAAGAGAGAAAGTGAGGCCCAAACATTTGAGATGAAGAGAGAAAGTGAGGCCCAAACATTTTCTACCATTGGAGGGCCCAAATTTACTGAATAGATAAGACGTTGCTTTTGGTCCAATATGATCAAAACTTCATGCCGTTTTTTCATCCTTATACCGGGATGATGTTTTTGGCTTTGGGATTTTTTTTTTTTTTTTTGGGTGTAAAGCTTTGTGAAATATTTGTTGTAGAGAATAAAGTGACTAGTGGCCGTGAGGTTTTGAGTAAGTAGAATAATGTTTTTAATAGGGTAATAATATTAGTATTCAAAATGAATATACCGATGAAATATGAATATCAATCATAATAGTGAAGATAACAATCACTAAATCAAATGCATTTAACTCAACCGGTATAAAAAATGTAGGGTTAATTCAACTCACTGTTGAAGTTTTTGAGTTAGACGTTATGTTATGCAAAAGCAAAACATAAAAATAAACTCGTTTGATCAATAATCAACTTTAGGTCTGTGTAGCCACCGTTCCTAACGAGATGTGTGGACAAAAGGAATGTAACAATCAATGTCCTCGAGAATATCAATCACAAAAGCATATTATTGGTAACCCATCCTATGTAAATTTGGTTGGATGTATATATTCATAAAGATAAAACAGTGAATTAACACAAAATATTAGAGGAAAATAGTAAGAATTCATAAACGCACTATATTACGAAAATGATTTATTTTGGAAAAGTGGGATATTTATATACCCATTTTTAAAATGGAAGTTTGGTAGAAATACATTTGATTTCTTCTTCTCTTTTTCTTTTTCTTCTGTTTATTTTTTGCCCTTTTTCTTGTTTTGTTTCTATGTGATTTTTTGTTGTTGTTGTTTCTATGTGATTTAGTGTACAGATAGCAAAGCAAAATGATTGTGTCGAGGGCTCGTGGAGGAATATTTTGGTGACAACCTTACTCTTTTTCTAATTGGACCAATGTAACAGAGGCTTCGAAAATTTGTTTTTTTTTTTTTGATCATCTGATATTATATTAGAATTTCCAGTCATGGAACCAAAAGAATACAAGCATAGAGGAGACAGACACTCCCAGCAAGTAATTAGAGTAGACTAAACCCAACTCTACACCAAGAGCGGTTCTATACGAAAATTTGTTATGCATGCATATATGTATGTAAAGTCTGGTAAGTAACTCATGGAATAGTAATGGACTAATGGTTTCATTATCTTCGCTATATTATTGAGATATAGATATATATATATATATATATAGTATATTTTAATTATAAAGAAAAAATAGAATGACAAATATGATTTTACAACATGAAATATCAACAAATTAATCATTAAAACAATGAATGAAAACTATATCGACATATAGTTGGTTGAACCGACTGAAATCAAGTGCGTCAGTTATGTCGGATCTTAAATTTGAGGAGTATAACACTATATTGGAATAATGAATTAATATTTGTGAATATACTAAATGTAGTAAAACATGAATTTAAAACTAGTTCTAGGTCTTGGGAAATGCTTGAGCTAAAGAATCTTAAATAAAGAAAACGATAAATGACGAACATCCAGAGAAAATATTCATTCAAACAGCTGGGCTTTTAGAAGGAAGAGTATTTTTGTTTTGCAACCTAAAAGTATGTATAGTTAGTAATAAATGTTAAGGACAGTCGCATTTAATTAACAAAAACTTTCATATAAATCATAAATGGATTGGCCAATGGCTACATCGTTGATGACTGGAAGCTTAATCAAACAGCTGGACTTTTAGAACCAAGAGACTCTTAATATTGTCTTGGTATAATTTCCGTAAAATCTCTTATATCAATGTCACCTTTTAAAATTGATTACTATTTACCTATATAGATCAAACTCATAAAGTATTCTTTGTCAAAAACTTATGAAGTAGTGTTAACAATTTAGTTGTAAGAAGTATACACATATGATTTATCTATTACTACTACTAAGTATCAATTATTAAGGGAGGCAAAAAGCCAATAAACTGGTCCCAAGCTATATTATGTCATGTGAACATTTAACTCCATTTTCTATTCATATTAAAAATGATGTTCCAAAAAGTATATCTAAATTTTATTTTGATCTTATCTACGACAATATAGTTATTAACTGGTACTAAAAGATTAATGTTAAGAATATTTAGTTGACAAATTTAGCAAGAAAGCTAAAAATAAAACTCAGCTTACACAGAAACGAACATTTAAACATGTGAGCACATTTCCTCCAACGTAAAAACCATATAATTTAATGTAACGTTCGAGTGTGTTTTTTTGTTGGTGTCAAACGTGTATATGTATCTATATATTTGACTATTTTTGCGTAACCTTGTATTTTAATTTATCATGCAATCAATCCAAATACCGCGTTAGACCACCATTAACAAGGGTATCTTAAAGAGTTCTTAAGTAAGAAATATGGCTTAGTTAAGACCCAAAACTAAGAAAAATGGCTTAGCTAAGACCCAAAACTAAGAGTTCTTAACTTTAATACTTCTAAGAACCATTTTCAAGATACCATTGTTAATCATGCTCTTACGAGATCTTTGGAACCAGTCACATGTTCCTTTCTTATCCTGGTATCAATAATGAAATAATTTTAGTTATATATCTCCATATATTTGAATGGTGAAATCTAATCTAACTAATTCTATAGATTAACATAAGAATTTTGTCGCACGATGGACATTTTAATCTCCTTGGGGAGAAAAAAATGTAAGGGTATAATTGTAATCGGACGAATTATTTGAGATTTGATGCTAAGTACTAAAATCCCAAATAAGAACTTTTTGCCAATATGCAAATTGCTTCTTCA